AATTCATAACGGTCTTTAACTAGCTATGAAAATGTTACAACTTTTACTATTTTTTTTTTCCAAAGATAGTTTGAAGGAGTTGCAACTATAAATATTTAATAACAAAAATTTTAACTAAATCACAAAATGTTACCATTATGCTCCAATTTTAACTACATTTTAGGGTACGTAATTGGTGTTAAAACAAATTGGAAAAAGAAAACATCATATATCTTCGTCCTACGGGGTCCTGTTTGGTAAAATAATTAACCTATCAATAAATTTTTGTTTGTTTGACAACTAATAGCTGTTTGATTTGTTAAACTTAATACAAGTATTTGACTAATTAGACAACTTATATTGTTTCAAAATACTAAAATTTTAAAAAACGGTTCAAAACAACTTTTATCAATCAATTTTTTTGAGAAAGTCATTTCGTATATAATCAGTTATCAACTAGCAACTAATTAATAAGCTAATGTCATCAACTAATCAAACTTACTAATCCAATTAATTAAGCTATTTACCAAATACTCCTTTAATTGTTAAGCGACGACACTGAATGGGAAGATGACGACAGCAAAGCACGGCCGGCCGGCAATAAGAAATGAAATGATGAGTGGCACGGCGCACGTTAGTGAATAGTGACACCCCTCCCACGCATTTCAAACTTTCTGAAATCGCTATTCGCTACTCTTAGGAGTTGACTAATCACCCCCACCAAACTTCATAATTTAAAAATTTGCCCCAAATTTTGAAGCCGCTGTCTCAAGCCAGTCCAACAGCAAGGCCCCTTCTGCAATTTTATTTATTTCCGGAGGCCTACTTTTTGAAATTTTATTTACACAAAAATCAAATCTGGAAACCAAACTTTAGAGAGAGAGAGAGGAACACAAAATTGCAGAGAGAGAGAGAGAGAGAGAGAGAGAGAGAGAGAGAGAGAGAGAGAGAGAGAGAGGGAGAGGGAGAGTGGAAGGTGGAATGACGATGGACCGTGAGAAGGAAAGAGAGATTGAGCTGGAGAGTGCAATGTACACCAACTGTTTGTTGTTAGGATTGGATCCGTCGATCATCGGTATCGGAGCCGGCAACGGCACGCCTCGAGTCGGGCTCTTCCGCCACTCCAACCCTAAATTGGGCGAACAGCTTCTCTACTTCATCTTATCCTCTCTTAGAGGCCCAACTCAATCCGCTAAAGTACGAACACACATTCAACTTGATTGCTTTTTGTTTCATTTGGATCTTTGTTTTCCGTTTCCTAACTTGGAAGCTCTTTTAGGACTTTGATAAGGTATGGCCAATTTTCGATTCAGCGCAGTCTCGCGATTTCCGCAAGGTAATTTGGTTTTACGTTGGTGAGAATGGAATGGATGCCCTAAATATAAATTTGTAGTTTAGGAAGCTGACATTTGTTAAATGCTTTGCCTTTTTGAATATCTAGGTCGTACAAGGAATTATAAGTGAGTTGGAATCGCAAGGGGCACTACCGAGGAGCAATTCGAGGGTATCGTCTCTTGCCACATGTTGTGGACCAAGGTTAGTTTGTGCCTGATTCCAACTTCAATTGGATTTGATTTCGGTTTGGATGAGATACTCCGTAGTTGTTTTCTTGTAGCTTTATTTTGAGCCTCAGTCATTGGATAGCCTGATTGTCCTATTCAAGCTTTTGTCTGTGTTGGAGATTAAGTACCCATTGTGTATGGGGCTAATTAATATCATTGTTGAATCTAGCAGAAAGTCATTGGGTCACTCCTTTTCTATTACCTTCATCTTTATGGGATTGCTGAAATAACACATTTAGAACTCATACATACTGCTGGCACTTATTAGGCCCCCAAGGAGTTCAACTTAGTAGTGAAAAGAATACTTACCATTATACTTTGAGCCTTCTGAATATTAAACAGATAAATGAATATAGTGCCTGACCATGAGTTTCCTTATTTTGTATCTTGAATTTTCTGTGGGCAAGACCATTGTAGACTCATCAAATATCATTGTCATTTGTCTTTCCATATTCTGTGTCATATTTGTCAGATTCTTCAACACTGTTTGCATAAACATGTTTCTATTATCACATCATGGTAGCCTTCAAGGTGCACGAAAGCTCATGATATGCTTCTCATGTAATTTCAGATTTGTTGAACTCCTTTGGCAACTTTCTCTGCATGCTTTGAGGGAAGTTCATAGACGAACTTTTGCAGCTGATGTAGCCTCTAGTCCATTGCCTGCCTCATTGACAGATGTAGCTTTCTCACATGCTGCTTCGCTACTTCCTGTAACCAAGGTAACATATTTTTCAGTTCTTTCTCTTTATTTGACAAGGAAATGAGAATAAAGCCACTGCGTCTTGGGTTAAGCATACTATCCAAGTGCTCAATTGACTGTTAGGGCATAGCCCACAGGTTCTAATCCTCAAGCATACACTGCTGTGTGCATTTGATCTAATCTATTTACCTTCATTGTGAATGCTTGTTGTTAGTTGTTTGCAAAAGTATTCTGGTTCTGCAGATGCCTGCTAATTTGAGTGTCCTTTCTTCAACTAGGCAAGGATTGCTCTTGAAAGAAGAAGATTTCTGAAAAATGCAGAAACAGCTGTACGCAGACAGGCAATGTGGTCTAATTTGGCTCATGAAATGACAGCAGAATTTCGTGGCCTTTGTGCTGAAGAGGTAAGAAAAGTTTCTTCATGGTTTTCATTGAGGACCTTTATATCCCTTTACTCATGGGAGTGAATGATTGTTCCTCATTGTGCTTCCTTGGTATCTTCTTGTTTTAGGCATATTTGCAGCAAGAACTTGAAAAACTTCATGATTTGAGAAATAAAGTCAAGTTGGAAGGTGAGCAATGGGATGAACTTGTGTCTAGCTCCAGTCAAAACTCTCACATGGTTCAAAGAGCTACTCGCCTGTGGGACTCATTACTATCTCGGAAGAGTAAGTCGGCACTGTTGATACTTCTGCTTAGTTTTGATATATCTAGATTCATCAAACAGTTAATCAGTATGCAATTTATTCAAATGCTATTGTCTACCGAGTTCTTTTACCAAAAGTATAAGGTGAGTTACTTATCATAAGGCTTCTCTATGCATTTTAATTTGTTCCATGATTCTACTCACCTACTTCAATATTTGTTTGCATATTATAGGCCAGCATGAAGTACTCGCCTCGGGGCCCATTGAGGATCTTATAGCTCACCGTGAGCATAGGTAATAGTCATGTTGATTTAATTTTAGATTTACAGGAGGGACTTAGCTAATAGTCATATTTATACATGTTTAGGTATCGCATCTCTGGGTCATCTTTGCTTGCAGCGATGGATCAAAGTTCTGCAGTTCCTCGTGATATAATTGCATCACATTCTGATAAGAATGATGAAAATGATAGATCACACGAAGATGTAATTAGAGAGAATTACAAAGCCAATTCAGATTCTTCCCATATTCAAGGAAATGATGAAAAATTTTCTCGAATGGATGATCGAACCTCAAGAGGCCACCCCACTGTTGATGTAGCAGAAGTCTTAAGGCGTTGGACACATTCCCTACAACGTATTCATAAGCAATCACTTCAACTGGTATGCTATTTATGTTGACCAAAGGTTTATTGCTCTTATTTAAACACTTACTGCCAACAAACTGCCAGCTATTCTAATGCAATTCTTTGTTTTGAAATTCGTGTCCTAAAATTTCAATGTTCCAAGTGGACACATTGCATTTTATGTCCTACTGTAACTGCCAGAACTCCCAGTACTCATCAAATGAATCATGCATACAGCTCCATATCTTCATTTGTTAACTGCTTGGTCTTTAATGATTTTAACCTTGATTTTCACTGTCATTCAGTAACTATCTTACCTACTTGCTCTGACCTGATAGAGGTTTTGAGTTTGCACAATATGTTGTAGTGAAGCATCTAAAATGTAATATATAAGTAAGCATTCTGAAGATGAACCTTTTGTAGTCAAATTCTTTCTTATGGCATCTTCTTAATTGCTACCGGGGGGAAAACTCCTTGATTATTTATTTATTTATTTATTTTTGTATAATGACAAATATGATAAAGTAAACTGTTTTTACAGTAGTTTTTCCATTAAGACCATTTTCACTTGTTTTTTTCCAGTGGTACAGTGAGGTTTTGGTATGCTATGTTTTTATGTAGGCAAAAGCAAATGACGGAGAAGGACCGGAGCTGCTACGAAATTCACATGATGGTGGCACAAGCAGTCATGCTGAATCTTTAGCAGCAACACTTGCTGAACATCAGCAACATCTAGCTAGCATACAGGTGAAAGATATATACTAATGCAATTTGTCTGCTGGATAGTACTGTAAATTACTTGAGGAATGAGAGTAGTCATTTTCAACTCATACTGATTCGTATATTAGATTTTGGTTCTCCTTTATTCTTGTGATTTACAGTTTGAAAATTTTTCTGATGAATATACTTCTACTCTTCAGGTCCTCATTAATCAACTGAAGGAAGTTGCTCCAGCTATACAGAATTCAGTTTCAGAGCTGACTGAGGAGGTTAATAGTATTTCATCAAGTATGCCTGTGTTGACCAGGCATCATGGAAGATCGAACTCACCTATCCAAGCACAGAGCAGTGGAAGAGCATTGGTATTTTCTATGGAGAACATAAGCTTCAATGATATATGTAGATGCTAGATTCTGAATTTCTCACTAAGTTCAACACAATCTTGACTTTTCTAGGAAAATAGCAATGATGAGGTTGCTGAAATGAATTCTAGATTGTCAGCCATTCAGCTTGAAAAAGTATCAGCTAGCCCCCCTGCTTTAAAGCTCCCACCATTGTTTAGTCTAACACCTAACTCTTCTGGGAAGGGTGGGAACACTCAGAAGAGACAGATGCCAGCACAAAGCAGTCACATAGAAAACATTTCAGAGAAAAAGTTCCTTGACCAACCTCTATTAAATAATCATGTGGATAACCCATCACAAGGTTTGTGTTCTTTTTCCTGTCTAATCTCTTGCTGGGTGCATATGCTACTTTGCTGCAGTTCTCTCTCTCTCTCTCTCTCTCTCTCTCTCTCTGTAGTTATAGTTTCTTAATGCTACTCATTTCTTCTTGCAGATAATGACATTTATTTTGTACAAAACTTGAAAAGATCAGTCAGAGAAGCTGCACTTTTGTCTCAATCTTACAATCCAGAATCATCTCAAGATAGTCGTGCTGATGATAGCTCTGACCATTACTTTGTACCGCTCTCAGGAGCTGGGTTTACTCGTGTTGGTCAAGAGAACAAATCAAGCTTATCAAGTGCTAAACAGTTGTTTGCTTATGGATCAGAGTCATCCTATCTAGTAACTAGTGGTTCAGAAAATAATGTGGGGGGCAAGTCTGATGGAATCCCAGATTTACTAAATGATCTGGATTCTTTTGATGACTTTGATGCTGTGAATGGTTTTCTTTCTGCTGGGGGTTCAAACTCCTCAGTTTCTGATGCACCCAGGTCATTTTATGATATGGATGAAACTCCAAATGAAGTATTTTCACCCCCTTTGCTCATTGACACTTCATTATTGGCTGATGGTTACGAAGACTTGCTTGGTATGTTTCTATGCCTGCTTGTGTGGAGTTTAGATGTATTTTAGAAAATCTCATTGGTACATTTGAATTCATTACTGCCCAGAGCTTTCCTTTCCTATCTAAAACACATGATGTTGAGAATTTATGAATCCTGCTTATTTAAGCTAATCTTGATGCTTGAACCACTGTTGTTGCTCACTCAACTTGTCATTTTTAATTTCATTGAAATCATTATCTAAATTCTAGAAGTATTGCATGTGAACAGCTTTTTCTATTTGAGTAGATGTGCATCTTGAAAATTGCTATTATTGAATCATTTTCTTAACCACGGGACTAAGGAATAGTTCCCAACTCTGGAAATGAACCCTCTTCGTCAATGGTTTTCTTAAATATAAATAGAGTATAATACTAAATGAACAAGTGAAGATGGGCAGTATAGATGCCAACTAAAAGTTTTCCTTTGCGGGTCAGATTGTATGTAATTGTAGTTTGTAATGATTTTATCATTGTTCTCTTTTTTTTTTTTAAAAAAAAAAACCTATTTGGTCTCATATGTGTGCCCCACTGCCCCATCTTTCTGTTCTTTAATAATGGTTGAGGTTTTGGAGGGGAACATACATAAAGACCAATCTGTTAATTACTCTTTGCTTTTGGAGTTTGGTCTGTTCAGTATTTTCTCTTTGCGTTTTGTAAATGCATTTTCTTTTAGTTTTATGTTGACGATCATTTTACTTCATTATGTTCTCATCCTTTTAATTGAAATTTCTGTTGCCTTGCAGCACCATTGTCAGAAACTGATGCTGCTTTAATAGAGCATTGAGATTAGTCTGCTGATATGCCTTGAAAGTGATGCCGGAAATTTGTATGTCTTCTCATTTGATAGGGGATGCTCAGCCTCTCTCTTATTTTGTACTTAAGATGTGATCATTGTATGATTTCTTTCTTCATTTCTGCACCAAATTCATCTATTCAAATGGTTAAGGGTTGAGGAGTCCAGAGGATTTGATATCTGGTAATATTTCTTGGTCAGCTTGGCAGATGCCTCAAATTTGAATCCTTCACCTTAAGGCTTATGCTTCTTCAAACCCGGTCACGGATGCCTAAAGCTCTTTTTTGGATATGCATTGTGGAGTTGTGGTGTGGACCGTGCAATGGGAAGAACACCCTCTCAAATCTTTGATTGTTTCATGGCCTGCTGTGGGATACAAAAGCTCTTCTATTATTTGATGTATCCTGTACTAGTTTGATAGCAAGATTACTAATCAACTAATTTATCATGTTTGCATTATGCCATATATATATTCTTTGATTGATGGGCTTGAGTGAGTGTGGTTAAAGAATGACCTTTCATAATCTTTATCTGGCATTATCTTCTAGTTTCCTTATTGAATTACTTGTTTGCTTTGTATCATTGAAGTACTTAGGAAATCTTCAACATGACTAATTCTGTTAACTGGGCGGTCCAGGTTGATTGCGTTACTCGTAATTTATCTATCTTTTTAATGATTCTAAGGAGATGGTACGGTGAAACTGTGATCACTTAAGTTTTTATTTTTTATTTTTTTATTTTTTATTTTTAAAAGAAGCTGTTCAGGTGTCTAGGCTATTCTGACAGAACAGAATTTTTATCCTGATTTTCAGCATACAGGTTGCTTGAGGACATCCACTGCTTGCTCTCAGATTTAATCCTTATCATATATTCATCTCAGAGTTTGTTATTCACCTGGTTGTCCACCAGCTATACTCTGGAATAAGGGAGAATCCTCAAGCTTAGGTGTCCAAATACTCCTTCCCACCATGTATATTCCACAAAGTTTTGGCTAAGAGAGCATGATTGCAAGTTCTGCAGTCTGTCTCTGGTGCCCAATCCAATCCACCTTCATTCTTAGGGGATATATTCAATCAAAATTTTTATAAATTTTTAGTAGTATTCGATCTAGATTTTTAAAGACTTTTTAAAAGTTTATCGGCATTCAATTTAGAGTTTTACAAGGCGTTTTTAGCTGTAGTTGAATTGCAATTTAGTGGATGCCTCAATTACATTGTTTGGTTGGAAGGAATTGCAATTCTACAGAATTGCAATTCTCTCCTTTTGTTGAATTGCAATTCAATGAATTTGAGAAAGGAAAAACATATGAAATGACATCATTACCCTTGGTTGTTATTACTATTATTATTACACAAGGGTATTTTAATCTTTATACCACTTATTTTTCCTTCTCGATTCCAATAATTCTATTTCTCCATACCATACAACGTAATTTGAATTCCTACTTTATTTCCACCTTATTCTTTTCCCGCTGAATTACAATTCTTTTCCTCCCTAATTCCTTCCTTCCAACCAAATGACCCGTTAAAGAATCTTTAAAAGTATACTGGTATTTAGTTCAGACTTTTATAGAGAGTTAATACCTAAAATCGTCCTCGACTATAGTGGTTTTTCTCAATTTCGTCCTAAACGACTTTGGTGACCTAATATCGTCCCAGACTTTTGTGTTTCGCTCAATTTAGTCCCAGATTTTTGTGTTTTTGCTCAATTTAGTCCCTCATTTGTTATTCTGTCCATTTGGTGTTAAATAAATAGACAATTCAGTAATTTTAATATTGGCATCTCTTTACTCATAGACATGTGAACTGCGAAATCCCTTTTTTTTTTTTACGAATTACTCCAGAAATACTCCTAAAACTGCGAATATAAAATTTGATTTGCAGGTCCGGGAGTAAATCTGGGTGTAATTCATACAAGAAAGAGGAATTTCGCACTTCACAACTTGAAAGTAAAGAGAGATCAATATTGACATTACTGAATTGTCCCTTAATTTAACACTAATTTAACGGAATAACAAATGGAGGACTAAATTGAGCGAAACACAAAAGTCTGGGACGATATTAGGTCACAAAAGTCGTTTAGGACGAAATTGAGAAAAACCACTATAGTCGAGGACAATTTTGGGTAGAGTTAATACCCAAAATCGTCCTCGACTATAGTGGTTTTTCTTAATTTCGTCCTAAACGACTTTGGTGACCTAATATCGTCCCAGACTTTTGTGTTTCGCTCAATTTAGTCCTCCATTTGTTATTCAGTCAAATTGGTGTTAAATAAAGGGACAATTCAGTAATGTCAATATTGATCTCTCTTTACTTTCAACTTGTGAAGTGCGAAATTCCTATTTCTTGTACGAATTACACCCAGAATTACTCCCGGACCTGCAAATCAAATTTTATATTCGCAGTTTTAGGAGTAATTCTGGGAGTAATTCGTAAAAAAAAAAAGGATTTCGCAGTTCACATGTCTATGAGTAAAGAGATGCCAATATTAAAATTATTGAATTGTCTATTTATTTAACACCAAATGGACAGAATAACAAATGAGGGACTAAATTGAGCAAAAACACAAAAGTCTGGGACTAAATTGAGCGAAACACAAAAGTCTGGGACGATATTAGGTCACCAAAGTTGTTTAGGACGAAATTGAGAAAAACCACTATAGTCGAGGACGATTTTGGGTATTAACTCATTTTGGGTATTAACTCCTTTTATAGAGTTTATAAAGTTTATTGGTATTCAAAAACTTTTTTCACTTTTAGGAATCCTAGGGTCAAGTAGGTCATTGGATTGCACACGATAATGCAATTAGGTCACTGAATTTAAAAAAAATTACAATTGAATCGCTAAATTAACCCATTTCATGCAATTCGTTCAATTTGCAGGGGTTTTCAATTTCTAACATGTCACTCAAATTTAAAATGATTTAAAAAAAAAAGAGTTTCGTCTTCGTGGCCAGAGACAAAGAAATCTTCTTCGTCTCCGGTTAGAAGTGCCTACAATTCAACAAAGGGATCAGTCACCATAAACACTAAATTAAATGTACAACATATGTATTTCCATTCAGTTTATAGCAAGTTCATAATGTTTCTTCTATATGTTTATAAAAATAAAATTTAATGTACATAAACAGTATACTACAAATGAAAAGAATGTATAAACAAAGTTTCAAATGGATTGAGCGAGCACAATTCTCCTTTGAAGCGGTTCCATTTTCTTTCGTGATTTTTTTCCCAAGTATCCTGCATACTGCACTCATGTCAACAGACATTTAGAATCATTAAAACATGCATACATGCTAACCTCATGTAGGAGTCACTATTTCAATGAGGATTCGATAGGAGTTCGAGACCCTCGCAATGACCACATTTCATTCTATAATTTAGTTGTTCAATTTGAACCTAAGTGCCAGTTAGGTTGAACATCCACAATAAAATTTTTATTTCAAGAACTTTAGTCTCATTTATCGTGATAACTTCTCTATCAACTCCCTACTTAACTCTTTGATTAGCGAATTCGCTATATTTTCCTTCGACTTCACGTAGTCAACAGAAATAACACCCATTATATTGTGTCATTGTGATAATTTATTGAATAGAGTTATGTTTACGACGTATATCTCTAGTTAGACTTACCATTATACTCTGTACATATTACTTTGTACCGTTCCCATTGCAGCTTGACTATCACAGTGTATACAAATTGGAGGTACAATTTTTTTTCAATTAGGAGAATCAAATTCTTGTCCAGAATTCTAGTGACATGCTATTACAGGTCATTGATCAAATTTGAACTTCAATGTATTAGGACTCTATGTATATGAGTCTGTTTAGAACTTCTTATCCTTGTCACACTGTGACTCTCTACTTCTTATCATTGTCACACTGTGACTCTCTATTCTATATATTCACATCATCTGATCTCATTGTAATTAAGTTCAGAAAATATAATGCAATCAGTTCTCATCTGGTATCAGTTAGCTAGGGTTTTGTGATTCATAAAATTAAGAAGATGCAGCGCTGCGATGGCAACCTTAATTACCGTGGAGGTCAGCAACGTGGCTTCGATGATCCGTGTCAAATTTGTAAAGGTTTCGGCCACACAGGAGTCAATTGTTTTTGGCGCTATGATGATCCGTGTCAAATTTGTAAACGTTTTGATCACACGGGAGCCAATTGTTTTTGGCGCTATGATGATCCGTGTCAAATTTGTAAACGTTTTGGTCACACGGGAGCCAATTGTTTTTGGCGCTATAATGATCCGTGTCAAATTTGCAAAAGTTTCGGTCACACGGGAGTCAACTGTTTTCGGCAATATTCAGGGGCTCCGGGTTCTCAGGCTAATTTGGTGTTTCAGAATGGTTTAGTTGCTAAAACCTCGTCAAATTCTCATACTTGGGTTCCGGACACTGGAGCCACAAATCATGCAACTCCGAACATCGCTACCCTTCCTACATCGGAGAAGTACACTGGTAATGACACTTTACGTGTCGGTGACGGTATGAGTTTATCTATTAGTCATGTTGGCCATGCCTCTTTTAATACCCCTTCTAGATCATTTACATTGTCTGATATACTTCACGTTCCGCGTTTGTCTAATTCTTTATTATCTGTTCAGAAGTTTGCATCCGATAATAAAGTCTTTTTTGAGTTTCACCCCTCCTTTTTTGTTGTAAAAGATATCAATACCAAGGAAATACTTCTTCGGGGCAATAGTTCGGGGGGACTATACACACTTTCATTACCTAGTTCGTCTCCGTCAGCGTTTATTTCCGCTCGTGCCTCGGCTTACACTTGGCACAATCGTCTAGGTCATCCTCATAACCGTGTTCTTAGCCATATACTTCGTTCTTGTTTGGTTAGTGGGTCTCGTGATAATATTCGTTGTCATAATTCTTTATGCAATGCGTGTCAATTAGGCAAATCTGCCCGTTTTCCCCTCCCCCGTGTTGCTTCCTCTAGTTCTCAAGTCCTAGATCTTATTTACACAGACATTTGGGGTCATGCGCCCACTTTATCTACTTCTGGCTTCCGTTATTTTGTGATCTTTGTGGATGACTATTCCCGGTATACATGGTTCTTTCCTATGAAATTAAAGTCTGATCTTTATGTCATCTTTGATAAATTTCGTACTTGATACTGCTAATTACACGTAAGCAATATATAACAACACGAGACCAATTAAAGCAAGTAAATATCTTTATTGATCACGGTAAAGGCCCTAAGTACAATCTACTTGGTTGCTCTGAGTACCGACTGACTGCGGTCGGGATTCTCTAACAACAACCTATCGATCGTCCAAAAGTCCCTTACACTGTAGCTACTGTGGGTATTTATAGCCGCTATGCCGGGGACAAGATTCCAGCCGTTCGGCATGCCCTCCACGTAGCTACCATGTGTCATCCTCCCGGGTGCCCTGCCTGTCGATGTAGAGAGCCGCCACGTGTCCTTCGTCAGCTCTTTCGCCAAAGGGCTATCGCTCGGTGGTCGACACCGTCGCTCGGGCAACTCTCGGTCGATCTACGACCGGGTTCTTCTCGTGGAGCCCGACCTGTTACCTGCAAAGACAAGGAGAAAGAGACAAAGGCTCCTTGGCCGGGTATCCCGGGCGGTGCACTCAACCAAGAAATCCGCAAGAGCTTGACCTTTAATAGCCGGTCTCGGTCGGTACTCGATCGCGTACTGGGTCAACATTAACGCCCATTTGACTAGGCGGCCGGACGATGAAGCAGTTCGGAGGACTGGCCCGATCGGCTGATCGGTCAACACGCGAATTGCTCGACCTTGGAAGTAGGGAGCCAACTTCTTTGCGGCAATGTATAAGGCATAGACGACCTTCTCTAGCCGGGAGTACCGGAGCTCGGGACCATGTAGCGCGTGGCTTACGTAGTACACCGGTCGCTGGACCCCTTCCGGATCGGTTCGGCACAACACTGCGCTTACTGCGCGATCGGACACGGCGAGGTACACGTCTAGCTCTTCCCCGAGCTCAGGCTTTGAGAGCACGATCGGTGACATGAGGTATTCCTTCAGCTCATCAAAAGCCGCTCGGCACTCTTCGTCCCAGACGAATCCATTAACCTTCCGCAATACCTTGAAGAAAGGTAAAGCGCGTTCGGCTAGCTTGGAGAGGAACCGGCTGAGGGCTGCCAACCGACCGGTCAATTGCTGGACCTCCCGAACGGTGGAAGGTGGCTGCATGTCCAGAATCGCTTTTACTTTGGCCGGGTTAGGCTCGATTCCTCTCTTGGTCATCATATAGCCGAGGAACTTGCCGGTCTGAACCGCGAATGTGCACTTGGTCGGGTTCAGCCGCAACTGGTACTTCCTCATGATCTGGAAGCACTCCCGAAGGTCCCGAGTGTGGTCGGATCGGTCCCGACTCTTGACCAGCATATCATCGATGTAAGCCTCCATCGTTCGGCCCAGTAGATCAGCAAAGAGCATGTTGACCATCCTTTGGTAGGTCGCTCCTGCATTTCGGAGGCCGAACGGCATCACTCGGTAACAATACAGCCCATCCGGGGTCACGAAGGCTGTCTTGCTTTCGTCTTCATGGTGCATCATGATCTGATGGTATCCCTTAAAGGCATCCATGAAGCTCATTAACTCGGCCCCGGCCGTCTCGTCGACCATCTGATGAATGCTCGGTAGAGGATACGGGTCGAGCGGACAGGCTTTGTTGAGGTCCGTGAAGTCGATACACATCCTCCAGGCTGGGGGCTTAGGAACTAGAACGATATTTGCCACCCACTCGGGGTAGACTACCGGACGGATGTGTTCGATCGCCGCCATCTTTTTGACTTCTTCTCTTACAAACTCGCGGCGATCGGAGGAAAGGTGCCGGGTTTTTTGGACGACCGGCTTAGCTGCCGGATCGACGGCCAATTTGTGACAGATGACCGACCGATCGATCCCGGGCATGTCTTCAGGCCCCCATGCAAAGATATCAGCGTACTCCCGGAGCACGGCCAGAACTTCCGCTCGAATCTCGGGGGTGAGGGCTCGTCCAATCTTTATCTTCCTGTCCGGGCGGTCCTCGGACAGGGGAACTTCTTCAATTTCTTCGGAAGGTTCAGGCTGCTCCTTCCGTTCCTTAGCCTCCTCTTTGGCTATGGTGTTCACCCGGGAAGATGGACCGGAGTCACGTCTATTGACCGCTCGGGTGTAACACTTCCGGGCGGACTGGACATCGCTACGGACCACGCCGACCCCGTTGGGGGTGGGGAATTTCATGCACAGGTGGGGCATAGAAATTATCCCACCGATCTTCATAATGGCGGGTCGGCCCAAGATAATGTTGTGGACGCAATGGAGGTTGACCACAACAAATTCCAGCTTCGTTTGGATCGACTTTGGAGGCGTGCCGATCTCGACCGGGAGCGTTATTTTTCCCTCGGGGTAGATAAGAGCCCCGGTAAACCCTGACAGTGGTACACCGACCGGAGTCAGCTCCTTCCTGTCGAGGCCAAGCTTTTCAAACACGTCCAAGTATAGGACGTTCACACTGCTGCCCGTGTCGACCATAACCCTCTGGACGTCTGTCCCCTTAACGTCAATCGTGACCACGAGCGCCTCCATGCCGTGATCGCTGCTGGTAGGTTGGTCCTCAAGGGTGAAGGTTATGGGTTCCATCTTCTGCCTCTTCCCGATTCCGCGGGAATCTACTATTGCGACCGGGCAATTAGCCCGCGGTCGGGAAGCATCTTCCAGCCCACCGAAAATGACGTGGATGGTAGGCTTTCCGGACGGGCGGCTGCCGGACGGAGGGTCGGGGTCCCGTCGGTCGTCATGATGATCATCCCTTCTGTCTTGCCCAGATCGATCAGAGCGGTGATGGGAACGTCTATGATCCCTCCGATCGGTGTTCCTTTTGTTTTCCTCTCTCTTCCCCACACACTTGTCCAATTTTCCCCTGTTAAGCAGATCTTCCAACAATTGGCGCAAGTGGGTACACTCCTCCGTGTCATGCCCAGCGCATCGATGGTAAGCACAGTGCTTACTCTTGTCAGGGCCGTCTCGATCGGGATGGGGGAGTTTGATGAGATTGCAGGACTGGGCGTATTGCATGGCCTCCGCTGCGGATCGGTTCAAGGCCGTAAATTCCCCAGGCCTGGTGCGGGATCGGGGGTTGTCATCTCCCGACCTATGTTCCGCCCGGCCGGCCGGTTTACGGGACGAAGAGCCGACCTCCTGCAAGCGCTTGACGGCATTCGCCTCGCCGGCGTTGGCATAGTCTGTGACCCTCCGAAGGGCCTCCTCGTAAGTGGTCGGGGGGTGTAGGATGAAGTCCTGGTACAAATGTCCCGCCCGGAGAGATATGTGAAGCATGTGGGTGGCGGTCGCATCGTCCATAGGCTCGACCTCCCCGACTGCCGCTTTCCATTTGATGAGGAAATCGGTCAAGCTTTCCCCTTCCAGCTGCTTGGCCTTCTCGAGATACATGTAGGACTTCCTCACCACTTTGGAAGTGATGAACTTCCTCACAAATTTGATCGCCAGGGTCTCAAATTTGTCGATCGACCCCGGGGGCAGGGTACGGAACCACTCTGCTGCCCGACCGGTGAGGGTCGAGTAAAAGGCTCTGCACATCACGGCGTCCGAAACGCCCTTCAGCATCATGTTGCTGAAAAAATCATTCACGTGGGCCTCAGGATCTGCCCGTCCGTCATAACTCTTCTCTCCCGAGACCTTTAAGTCGAGCGGGTAAGGCTGGGCCATTACCGCTGCTGTGAAAGGCGTCTGGTGCAAGGTTGATTGGTTGACCGGGGGAGTTCCTGGGTACGCATTCCTGAGCTGCGCAACTTCCGCCTGGAGGTTATAGAGTAGTCCCCGGGTTTCGTTGAGCTCGGCGGCTTGAGCGGCTTGGGCTGTATCCCGAGCGCGTCGCCGCCGGTGAGATCTCGACCCGCTATACCCGGATGAAGCCTCGTGGCTAGCTTCCTGCATTTGTACGTCTTCGTGCCCGCGGTCCGGGTCTTGGGGTCCCAAACGTTGGCGCATCTCCGGTCGAAGACGATCAAAAGCTACCGCTCGGGCAACTTCTTCAGGGTCCTCCGCTTGAACGGCCTGAGCTGGTGCCTCCATCGCATCAGCACCCCCCGACCCCAACCGCGAATGAGCCGAGCGTCGAGCCCGGGACACGGACTGACGCTGCGGCTCTACTTGGGCGGCCGGTTGTACTGGAGGGGCGGCGGCTGGAGCTGTATAAGCTGGCGTATACGGTGGATACCCAACCGGGGAAGTGTAGCACATTGGTTGGCCTGGCCAGTACCCATACGGTGGAGGTGGGACCAGGTACGGATACTGGGCGGGATACATCATCGGCTGCTGTTGGTATGGCAGACCGGGTGTTGGGTATCCTGGTTGTATGTAATTCACCGGCTGCTGGGCGGCCGGGTATGTATTTGACGGATGCGGTGGCGAGAGGTTGAGGTTGAGGTCCATCGTCTGACCCTGCTGTTGGGTAGCATAGTGGTCGGAGGAGCTCGCCGCATCCGCCTGGTCGTCAGCAAAGTTGTTGTGTGCCCACGGATACATGTCGATATGGTGATCGGGTGCTCGTCAAGACGTTGGTTTCTTGCACGGGTCCCCACAGACGGCGCCAAAATGATACTGCTAATTACACGTAAGCAATATATAACAACACGAGACCAATTAAAGCAAGTAAATATCTTTATTGATCACGGTAAAGGCCCTAAGTACAATCTACTTGGTTGCTCTGAGTACCGACTGACTGCGGTCGGGATTCTCTAACAACAACCTATCGATCGTCCAAAAGTCCCTTACACTGTAGCTACTGTGGGTATTTATAGCCGCTATGCTGGGGACAAGATTCCAGCCGTTCGGCATGCCCTCCACGTAGCTACCACGTGTCATCCTCCCGGGTGCCCTGCCTGTCGATGTAGAGAGCCGCCACGTGTCCTTCGTCAGCTCTTTCGCCAAAGGGCTATCGCTCGGTGGTCGACACCGTCGCTCGGGCAACTCCCGGTCGATCTACGACCGGGTTCTTCTCGTGGAGCCCGACCTGTTACCTGCAAAGACAAGGAGAAAGAGACAAAGGCTCCTCGGTCGTGGTGAAGCTATGTCGGTCGGGATATTCCCTACCAGTACTCTTGTTGAACGGTCCTTTAATTGCAAAATAAAGGCCATTCAGTCTGATTTAGGTGCTGAGTACAGGAATTCAACATAGACAATCTTGTGCCTATACACATGAACAGAATGGTCGTGTTGAACGAAAACATCGTCACATTGTTGAAACTGGTCTGGCTCTTCTAGCTCATGCCTCTGTTCCTTTGAAATTTTGGGATTTTGCCTTTGAGACTGCTGTCTATTTAATTAACAGAATGCCATCTTCTGTATTAAATAACTCCAGTCCTCATCTCCTGTTACATAAATCCCCTCCTTCCTATCTTTTTCTTCGTGTCTTTGGGTGTTTATGCTACCCTCATCTTCGACCATATAATCGTCATAAGATGTCATACAGGTCTTCTCCATGTGTCTTCCTAGGTTATCCTGAGTCCTTTAGGGGGTACAGATGCATGGACTTACATACTAATAAGATTTACACATGCAGGCATGTCAGATTTGATGAAGAAGTTTTCCCCTTTGCTATTAAAACTTCTTTGCAGGATCTATCTACTCCGTTTTCTGGACCTTGGGCGGAATCTGTTCTCAGTCACAGCACACCTATTCCTGCCGTGTCCAATGATGAGCTGCCAGAACCGCCGCTACCTGCTTCATTCGAACCAGCCGTGGATCCTGGACAGGCTGCCTCGTCGGGTGATCCTGTGGAGCCTGTTGCTCGCCGGCGAGGCCGTCCACGTGGGCGGTCCATCAGGCCCAATGTCCGTACTCACTCTATGGCCACTCGCAGCAACGCAGATGCTCCTCTTTTTGTTCTAGCAGCTCAAGTGCATCCCACGGAACCCACATGTTACTCTCAAGCTGTCAAATATCCTGAGTGGCGTGAAGCCATGGACCAAGAATTCAATGCTCTCCTGCATAACCACACATGGTCTCTAGTTCCACCCACTGCAGGTATGAATATTATTGGTTGTAAATGGGTGTTTCGTACGAAGAGAAAGGCTGATGGTGCTATTGAAAGGCATAAAGCCAGGCTGGTTGCGAAAGGTTTTAATCAGGTTCCAGGTCAGGACTTCTTCGACACTTTTAGTCCAGTGGTAAAGCCTACGACTGTAAGACTCCTTCTATCTCTAGCTTTATCATCTGGGTGGTCTATCAAACAGCTAGATGTTCATAATGCTTTTCTGAATGGTAATCTGGCTGAAACAGTTTATATGAAGCAACCCCCTGGTTATATTGATGCTAACTTCCCGAATCATGTTTGTTTGTTAAAAAGATCTCTGTATGGGTTAAAACAAGCTCCCAGAGCTTGGTTTAATCGACTACATACGTTCTTACTATCGGTTGGCTTTCAAGCATCCAAGACAGATGTCTCTCTGTTCTATTACTCTAAAGACTCTGCTTTGGTTTATCTATTGGTGTACGTGGATGACATTCTTGTAATGGGAAGTGATCAAGATATTATGTCTCAGCTCTTGTCCAAACTGTCTGCTACATTCAAAATCAGAGATCTTGGTGAACCAAATTTTTTTCTGGGTATTGAAACAGTTAAGAGTGACAATGAGATTATTTTATCTCAACAACGGTATATGAATGATATTTTAAAACGGGCTGGAATGTCTGAATGCAAACCCCTTTCTACACCTATCTCTGTCTCGAAAACTGTCCCCTTCAATTCAGATCTATATGATGATCCCACACAGTACAGGAGTCTAGCTGGAGCACTGCAATATCTCACTGTCACACGACCTGACCTATCCTTTGCAGTTAATCAGTTATGCCAGCATATGCATGCCCCCACCATATCACACTGGGAGCAGCTCAAACGGGTACTCGGGTATGTTAAGGGAACAGTTGATCATGGTTTACGCATACGACGGTGCTCATCTAGAGACATTCATGCTTTCTCTGATTCTGATTGGGCTGGTTGTCCTGACGATCGAAAATTCACGAGTGGTTTTGCTGTTTTCTTGGGGAGTAATCTTATATCATGGGTTTGCAAGAAACAGAGAACTGTTGCCAGGTCATCCACTGAGGCTGAATACAAAGCTCTTGCAGATGTTTGTGCTGAGGTTCTATGGACTATGTCATTATTGCGTGAGATACAGATTCCGGGTATTTCCATTCCAAAATTATGGTGTGATAATCTAGGAGCTACATATATGAGTGCCAATCCAATCTTTCATGCGCGCACCAAGCATGTGGAGATTGATTATCATTTTGTTCGTGATCGAGTAGCTTCGGGCGATATCCAAGTCAACTTCATCTCCACAAAGGATCAACTTGCTGATATCTTCACCAAAGCTCTGCCTGGACCTAGATTTTCTTCCTTAAGGGACAAGCTACAGGTTACTAGTATACACTGTGCTTGAGGGGGAGTATTAGGACTGTATGTATATGAGTCTGTTTAGAACTTCTTATCCTTGTCACACTGTGACTCTCTACTTCTTATCATTGTCACACTGTGACTCTCTATTCTATATATTCACATCATCTGATCTCATTGTAATTAAGTTCAGAAAATATAATACAATCAGTTCTCATCCAATGCACAAAAATAACATGTTGAATGGTTTAATTGTAACTTTTAAAAATTTTATGATTTAATTAATTTTTTGTATACCAGTTTAAGGTTTATTTTACCATTAAAAAAAAAATCAGCTGTTCGGACCATATAGTCCTTTTCTTCCATAAAATTCTTTAGCAGATAAAGGGCGAAACTAGTCAAATCAGGGCGTTTCTTTCCATCTGGAGAACCCCAAAAGGGGAGTGCTTTGAGAAGTTGAAAATTGAAATCTCCCAAAAAAGCAAAGAATAAAAATTTAAAATTGAAAAAAAAAGATAAAAAGAAAATAAAGCATAGAGAAAATCAAAATAACAATAATGCCAGCGAACCAAACACATCGAGAACAACCAGAAATTGCTTTTCTTCAACCCGTCTCCCCTTTTTCTTTCGTCTTGGGCTGTTTTTCAGATTGCGATTACTGACCCAACCCAGAAAGATTCAATCTTTTTCAGTTCCGGCTTTTCTTTATCACCAATAACTTGTGCTATCTATCTTCTTGTAAGCATCAAATATCCTTCTGGTGAATGGTGCTGCTCCTGTTGTTTATTGAGTGTCTTATGCTTGTATTTCTTGGGCGCTTTTTGCAGGTGATTCTTGATAAGGAATGTTATCTGGGTTTCGTAGATCATGGCCAGATCTTTTAATCTTTTGATCTCGCTGTAGGCTGTGAACCTCTCTAAGTTTTGACACAAGGAAGAGCTGCGGTTAGTTTACATCTTTTCTTCTCAGGTGAGAAGAGCCTAAATTGCATGATTGTGGTTTGAACCTTTACTGGAATTTGAGCTTTTGGACTATTCTGTTTATGGCATAAAAGAAAAAAGAACATGATTTTAAGTCTGCTGATAAAGGGGGATTTGATATATATGTGTAAATATTTCTAAAATATGGACTTGGTGTCAATTTTTTTCCACTAAAGGGAATGGGGAAATTGACTTTTATTGATGTAGGATCAACTGAAAAATCTGAGTTTTGATACAGTTGATAATTGTAATTTTCTTCATTTAGGAGTTCTCACCTTCTTGTAATGCCCAGATGAGAGGGGAAGTTATTTACTTAGACTGGAAGAACTTGAAACCATATGAAGGATGGATTGGTTTATGGTGGTGGAGAACAGCAGAGGTTTATGATCTGATGAGATCTTGCTGAGTTGCTGTTAGGATTTCGGTTTCTAGTGTCGTTTATCTTTGGGGATGTGTCTGTTTTGAAACACTGTTTGATCTACCTAGCTTGTTGGGTTCATACAAAAGAAACTCGAGTGTGTAGTTCCTAGTGATGATCAAACAGATATTCAATAAGCTCCCTCGGAAGCCATCTAGGTCTGTGGAAAATCGTGATGGCGGAAGCTCTGCTTTCTCTCCAAGTCCAATAGGAGTCAATTCCAACTCTGCTCCCGGGCTCAATCATGGAACTAAACTTCCCCAGGCTGTAAATGCAAAGGAGAATGGGAGTTCGGGAGTTTCTCCCTATGAAGCCTTGTTGCCGAGTTTTAGAGATGTTCCCAATTCCGAGAAGCAAAGTTTATTCATAAAGAAACTGAACTTATGTTCTGTGCCGTTTGATTTTACTGATCCCACAAAAAACTTGAAAGAGAAAGACATCAAACGACAGACCCTGGTAGAGCTTGTTGATTATGTTTCCTCTGCAAATGGGAAATTCACGGAAAATTCCATGCAAGAAATTGTTAAAATGGTATCCGTTAACTTATTCAGGGTGCTTACTCCTCAGCCTCGTGAGAACAAAATATTGGAAGCTTTTGACCTGGAAGAAGATGAGCCCTTGATGGACCCTGCATGGCCCCATCTGCAAATTGTGTATGAATTCCTTCTCAGGTTTGTGGCATCACCTGAAACAGATGCAAAGTTGGCAAAACGATACATTGATCATTCTTTCGTCGTGAAGCTATTAGATCTGTTTGACTCTGAAGATCCAAGAGAAAGGGAATACCTGAAAACAGTTCTGCACCGGATATATGGAAAGTTCATGGTGCACCGCCCATTCATTAGGAAAACAATCAATAATATATTCTATAGGTTCATCTTTGAAACCGAGAAACATAATGGAATTGCAGAGCTGCTGGAAATCTTGGGCAGCATAATTAATGGGTTTGCATTACCACTGAAGGAGGAGCACAAACTGTTCCTCGTTCGAGCTCTTATTCCACTTCACAGGCCCAAGTGCATACAAATGTACCATCAGCAGTTATCTTACTGCATTACACAATTTGTGGAGAAGGACTGCAAGCTTGCCGATACTGTTATTAGGGGTTTATTGAAATATTGGCCAATCACAAACAGTTCGAAGGAAGTTATGTTCTTAGGTGAGCTCGAGGAGGTCTTGGAGGCTACACAGCCCCCAGAATTCCAGCGCTGTATGGTTCCCTTGTTTCAACAAATTGGTCGTTGCTTGAGCAGCTCGCATTTTCAGGTCAGTGGTTTTAGTTTATTAGTTGATTTAGTTCTTTATACACTGGTGTTGCCACTTCACTGAATTAGTTAATTTCAGTAAAAGCTGATAGAACTCATTGAAACTTTTCAACTTGATATTTAATACTCGTTAAATTAATGTATATCAGCTTGCCTGAAATCTGGGCGTTTTCCTAGTAATTCTTAGATGGAGAAGAATCCAAGGGCTTCTAAGAGAACTTAGCAAATAAATTCCTTGTAGATACAACTAGGTCCCAATGAACTTCTTTCCTGGCATTCTCCGGTTCTTTGGCACATTTAATGTGCCTTCAACATTGACTACTCATACTGCCTGCTTATCTTCTCCACTAACTATCCTTGTTACAAAGACATTTCTTGCATCCTCACCTGTTCTTAGTTTTGCAAAAGAACGAGGAACTGGGAAATTAGACTTGAGTGGTGTGTGTTGAAAAACAAAGGGTTATGTCTGTCTATAGGGTTGTGTCTGTTTATGAATAGGTGCTTATATTAATAGTTATGTGTCTGTATATATATGTACTATGTTTCTTCATTAGAAACATAGAATTATAGAAATATATTGTAACCTTTCAGTATTATATACATTTTCTCATTCCTAAACTCTTCATCTTTGCTTCTGCCTAACTGGCGGGTGGTTGTTGTTCTCCACCCGACAGGCCTTTGGAGTTCTCGGTGTTCATACTTTATTTAATTCTTTGGGTATATTTGTCATTACTATGGGCTCTACTACATCCCCTTTGCTGCTCATGCTTTGTTTGCTCTGCCGCTCTTGATGAAGATTGTTGTTGGCAAGTCCTAGACTCACCTAGAGTGCTTATGTTGCTGTGAGGTTGTTCGTGTTAAGCTTCGCCCTTGGTGCATTCATCTTCATTCCCAAGGGTTGTGCATAGCGTCGTCTCTCTGAAGCCATCCAACAATGTTATCCTCTAGTTACATTTAATCTTCATTTGTAATTTAGAGTAAAGTGGAGTGTATGTTTTAATCCAAGCTTGGAACTTCCAGAGGTTCCAGCTTGAGGGGGAGTGTTGAAAAACAAAGGGTTATGTCTGTTTATGAATAGGTGCTTAAATTAACAATTATGTGTTTGTATATATGTACTATGTTTCTTCATTAGAAACGTAGAATTATAGTAGTATATTGTAACCTTTCAGTATTATATACATTTTTTCATTCCTAGATTCTTCATCTTTGCTTCTGCCTAACTGGCGGGTGGTTGTTATTCTCCACCTGCCAAGCCTTTGGATCTTTCAAATTCAACAGTGTGAACCTTTGCTGAAAAGTACTCCCTCTGTCCCATTTTGCATGTCTTACTTTCCTTTTTAGTTTGTCCCAAAATGTTGTCCTCTTTCTAAAATTGAACATCACCATCATTCTACTTTTTCCCAAATTACCCTTATGACTTTTGCTTTTATTTCCAAAAGTGAAAAAGTGAAGGGCATAATTGGAAAATACATAGCATTTACTTTAATTCCTTAAAAAGCGTGCAAAAAGCAAATGAGACAACCAATTCGGGACGGAGGGAGTAATATGCACATAAAAGATTGCTTCTTGCCTTCTTGTGTAATGGTAGTATAGACTAAAAATTTAACTTGATTGTTACATTTGCTTGCTTTTCACATTCCCTTTTCACTTCCACTAGTCTATGGACAATAATAGTATCTATATCATCATGTTATTCAATTTTATTCATGTAGGTGGCTGAGAGGGCCTTGTTTTTATGGAATAACGATCACATCGAGAACCTAATCAAACAAAATCGCAAAGTTATACTGCCAGTCATCTACCCTGCCTTGGAGAAAAATTCAAGAACCCACTGGAATCCAGCAGTGCAAAGCTTGACTTTGAATGTATGCAAACTTTTCTCTGATATTGATCCCGAACTTTTTGAAGAGTGCATGACCAAATTTCAGGAAGGCGAGGCCCAAGAACAACAGAAAAAAATGCAACGTGAAGCAACTTGGAAGCGTCTTGAAGAGATTGCTGCAATGAAAGCTGCAAGTAACGAACCAGTGCTCGTCTCTCGAAAGCTGACTCCTCGTGCATCATCTGGCTAGGTGGTACCCGATATGCTATTTATGCAGAAATAGCCTCATTGCGCTCGGTGGTATGTACAAGGATAGGAATCATAAGCAAGGAACTCGATTTATTGTAATGGGAAAATCACACTAGTCTTTCTTTCTTGGCGTTTTCATTATTCCTGAAATTTTTTGGTTTCACAGGTCACATGGGGTAAATGGGACACTATGTTGCATACGGGATACCAGGTTACCTCTATTCAATTTAGACACGAGGTGTGTACATATGGAATTGGGTGAAAGTGGCTGAAGCTTTTAGTCTGCACTGCACGCTTAGCTTGAGTGAATTTGGTTAGTAAACTCGGTCTTCATTGCTCTAGAAATTATGAGACTGAAAGGGCTTCATTTTGCTGGTAGTCTGTTTAGGTAATTTTGTAGTTTGAAATTTATGTACAATGTTCCGCAGTCAATATCGTACTCTATCATAATATGCTTGACAAATGCTGCCTGCCTTGAAATGCAACTAACTCAACTAAGTTTGTAAGCCAATTTAGTTCTGTTGAAGCCAGGTATATGGATTTTTCTTTCTTCACTCAAATCTATGGAGTGTTATAGGCAAATTATACCAAGGACTAGGGTCTACCTTGCATTGTAGACCCTGGTCCAAAAATAACTTTCAGATTCTGTATCTATAGTTGACACATTCTGTACTTGCAGTTGATAGTTTATGTACCTGTAACTATCATATTATGTGTCAGCAATTATCAAGTCAGATTCTGTATCTATAGTTGACACATTCTGTACCTGCAGTTGATAGTTTATGTACCTGTAACTATCATATTATGTGTCAGCAATTATCAAGTCAGATTCTGTATCTATAGTTGACACATTCTGTACCTGCAGTTGATAGTTTATGTACTTGTAACTATCATATTATGTGTTAGCAATTATCAAGTCAGATTCTGTATCTATAGTTGACACATTCTGTACTTGTAGTTGATAGTTTATGTACCTGTAACTATCATATTATGTGTCAGTAATTATCAAGTCAGATTTTGTATCTATAGTTGACACATTCTGTACCTGCAGTTGATAGTTTCTGTACCAATAGCTATCGTATTATGTGTCAGCAATTATCAAGTTATTTGTTTACATGTAGATAAATTGTTAACGGTAGATACAGAATTTTTGTATAAGGGTTCACAATGCAATATGAACCCTGGTCCATGGTATAACAATTGAGTATTATAGTTAATGTGTGTTGTGTTGATTGATGATGATTGAGCAAGCTGATGAATGCCTGCATGCAAGGGTGAATAATTGAAGTCCAGTTGTGTTGATGGGATGATTACAAATTAATATTCTTGGAATGAAATGTAGGTATATGCTCAGGAACTGCTCATCTAAGGCTAATGCCAAAGCATTTTTGTGTCCTCCACTGATAAAGAAGACTTGAGTTCTGCCATAATCTTGAGAGCAAGTGTTTTTTGTAGGAAAAGTACTTTAGGTATACTGTGGATGGATGAAAACTGAAAAGTGCTTCAGTTTAGACTTAAAAGAAAGATGCATAGATGATGATGATGTTACATGAACAGAAGTGACTAAAAAGTGCACCACGGGACTTAGCTCAATGATTCAAGGGTCACCGTAAAAGTCTTGTTCCAGTGGCAGGGTGGAGATTTGATTCCCACTGAAGACATAATCAGAGGTAATAAAGACTTCTTGTGCGCAGAGTGGACATAAAAGGGTGAACACAATTTAGCACTGATTGGGCGACTCACGATTTACCTCCTCCAGTGCCCTTATAATCAGAGGTAATGAAGATTTCTTGTGTGCAAAGTGTACATAAAGGGGCGAAGATTTCTTGTGTGCAGAGTGTACATAAAGGGGCGAAAACAATTGAGCACTGACTGAGCGATTCACGATTTATCTCCTCCAGCACCCTTGGGTAGGGATTTTGAGGACTTGGGAGAATGTAAATTAAAAAAAAAAAAAAAAAAAAAAAAAAGTGATTCTTGATTGTTGAAGATGGTGGACCTGCTTACCAGTGCAGTGGCGGACAGGTTTTGCTTTACAAATCTTGGCTTGTGTTGACTGCTTAGTTAAAATGCCATTTGCGCTGAATCAGATGGACCTGTGCCTGTATCGTACCATATCATATTTCAACAACAGAGTAAAGAGGCTTCAAAGTTGTGCCAATGTCCCTTGCCATACTCAAAAGTGTCAAATAAACCCTTGAATTTTATACAAAAGAAAAATTATAATTAAATACATCATTTGGACCCAATAGCACTTGGTGATACACCAATAACAACTAGTAATGAAGGTTATTTTAAGTTTTTGACAACCAAGCCCAAAGACTAACGACTGGCTGATCGCATGTTTCACTGAAGAAGTTGACCGGTGACAACTCTAAAATAATCTTCATTACCAATTTTTACATGTGAATAAATGACAAATGCACAAAAATAAAAATTAATGTATTTAGTTACAATTTTTTAGAGTTCAAGTTAATAATTTTTTCGTATAAAGTTATTTACCTCTTTTTCAAAAGAAAATAACCAAGCTTAGAAATAATTGAAATACCAACTTCACCCTTGAGTTTTGAAGTACAATATTAGCAAGAGCATCTCCAACTAAGAAGAAAGAGAGGGAAGAAAGCTATTGAAAAGGAGCAAATATGTTTTTCAGAGACAAACATAACGAAACGCGGCACGCAGCAACACAAATGGTGGGGGATAAGTCTGTCCCCCACTATTAATGCTACTTTAAAAAAGAAATAAAAAAAATTATGGGTATTCAACCTCAACAATCAAAAGCCGTTAGAGGCTGAAATTTATTCCCATTTCATGATTTTTTAATTTTTTTTTTTAAATCAGCCTCTATGCTTTTGATTTTTTATTTAATTTATAATTTTATATTTTTATTTAATTACGAGTTTAATTGCTTGAATTAAATTTATAAATAAATTATATTTTATAAAATTAAAATATATTTTATTTCGTAATTTATTTAATTATATTTATAATTGAAATTAAAAATTAAAAATTATAAAGCTAAAATTATTAATTATAGAAAAATAAATAAAATAAAGTTGAAACATTAATTATAGAAAAGTAAATAAAATAAAAAATAATGTGTAGAAATGAAAAGGGGGATTGAGAGAAAGGAAAATATTATTTATATTTTTATACGCTCAACTTTTACTTTTACACACAAAATTTTGATATAAACATCTGTATTGGGACTCACATAAAAAAATAACTTATCAGAGTCCGTCATATCAGAGAAAGATTTAGGAGTATATATAGTAAAACTCAAAAGAAAATAAAATAAGAAATTAGATGGTGATGTGGAGGAGTTGTACCCACAAAATAAGGAAAAAAGGAGAGAACCATTGTGGATGTTGTCAAAACATTAATAATGAATAAATGCAAATCCCTGTACAAGTATTAGATCAAATAAAACTAGCAGCAACTGTCCTGTCCTGTCCTTCCAAGTCCAGCACCCAAAAAACCAAACTCAATTGTTTTACGAGTTTTATTACATGTATTCCCAAATTCTACTCCCTCACTCTCACTTTTACTCTTTGATGTGGTAGACAATGATAGACTATTGTTATTATGCGGGTTCTAAAAGAAATGTTTACATCAAGAATATAAGAGTGGAGTAAAATTTGGGAGTAGAACTTGGAGTCCTTAAAAACCAAACCAGCATCCTTCAAAAACCAGTGGAACATAGTATTTGTCTGTAGAAATCAGCTATTAACACAAATAGAATCTGCAACACAAAATTTTCAGAAACTCCAGCAGCCAAAAGAAAGCAGCTAGCTATTCGCAACATCCTCGGAACTCAATTCTAACAGTCCCTGAAATCCAGTCCAGGATCCTCCCGAAAACCATTCCAACCTGAAGCAGATAATCATGATGTCTGTACCAAAAGTCAGCCATTAACACAAACAGAATCTGCAGCAGAGAGTTATCAGAATTCAGAATGGATAAAACCTAATATGCTCCAAAACTACAATTTCTATGTTTCCATAACCACCAGCATCATCATAACACATTCCAAACTTGTGGTTTTTGTAGGGGTAAGAAGCATTTCCCGATCGACAATGGTTGTGGATGACTGCCCCTTTTCCTCCACTAGAACACTTTGATCGTAGGCTTGTTTTAAATGAGTATTCATGCTTATCATTTCCACTCAATCCTACAAGTATTTCTTACATTATGATCCGCTAGTGCGGGAATCCATATCTTCAGTGCTCGATCAAGCACGATCCGCTCTAGCGTCTCGCATCCATGCACCAAATACACCAAATCAGAAACCAAGAGATTTTTACAATATCTCAAAATAAGCTCTTTCAATGATTCGTGATTCTGGAAGGAGCAAATCCCATTACCAGTAACGAATTCACAACCTGTCAAATTAAGGGACGTCAAGTTCTTGCAATTTTGAGCCAAAGATATAAGCGTTTGATCCGATACATTTACAAGCCAGGATAAATTCAATCTCATCAGATTTCTCATTGCAGCAAAAGCTCTTGCACTAATGTCAGTCACTTTTGGCCCACAGTCCCCCAAATCTAACCCCTCCAAACAACTCAATTTCATCAAACTCTCAACCCCAGAGTCTGAAATCCGATCACATTCAGCAATCATCAATTTCTTTAAGGTATGACACAAAGGCCCTAAAGCTAGGGACTTCAAACCCAAGTCCGATATCAAGCAACAACCCTGCAAATTCAAACTCTCCAAAGAATTGGCTGTCCCAATAGATCTAAGCCCTTCATCAGTAACCCTTCGACAGTAACTCAAGTCCAAAACCCTCAAATTGTGCGCAAAATTAACCAGTGAAGAAACCCCAGCATCTCCTACACCACTTCTTTTCCTCAATAAAACCGAGTTTAAATCACAACAGCCCTTTGCAATAGCACGCAGACCCTCATCATCAAAATCATCAAAGCTCAGATTATCATCCGTTTCATAATAAAGTTGAGTTTTTTCCTTGAAATTCAGGTTCAATGACTGAATTATTGGGCACGTCTGGGCCAAAAATTCGACATGGGAATTCGAGATTACCTCAGAACATTCGAATTTAAGAAGATTTGGGTACCTGGGAAGGAAGTTTCGGAGAAGGTTGGGCTCGAAAACGCGGAGATTTGAAGATGTCATGCCCTCGATTATGAACCATTGCTTGCAAACTAGAGAACATGACTTTCTGTCATTTCGGTCTTGGATCCGGTGGAAAATCAAGGCCAGTACATCATCTCCTAGTCTCTCCATTGCCGAGTATGAGATGAGCTCTCATGTATGTATTATTCTCAATCTCATGTATGTAATTGGAGATTTTTTTTTTTTTTTTTTTTTGGAGGAAAATTGGAGTTATTATTATTATTATTTTTTGGTTCAAATTCTTATCTTTCAAATTAAAATGGAAACAAATGAAAAATTAAAAAAGGAATTTGGAAACTCAACAAATAATAATAATAATAATAATAATAATAATAAATTGTGTGCTCCACATGTTGCAATTCATCCCTAACCACTACCATCATTATTTATAAACTTTTTTTTTTTTGAAAGGATTATTTATAAACTTTTGTTTCACTCATTTGTGTTAAACTTTTTTTTTTTTTTTGAAAGGAGCATGTGCGGCATTTATTGAAAATATGCTGAAATAGAGTCTGGCAGGCTAGAATCCGAATACATAGTAGTTGACTGAATAAAAGCAGTAGATGCTAAAGTATGAGCTAAGTAATTATCTGATCTAGAAACAAATTGAAGCGAACAATAATTAAAAGAAGTCATACGGACTCTGCAGCTATCAATAGCATAGCCAAGATACGAGCGAGGCGAACTAGTCGCAGATGATAGATACTGTTGAAGCGTTAAAACAATCTGTAAAGAGCTCGACCGATCGTTCTCCACGGTCCCATAACCAAGACAAGATTTCTTTGCATGCGAACGCCTCTGCCATAAGCGGGGAGAAGCAGTCTGTCATAGGTGCAGAAAAAGCTGAGATATACATTCCTTGTTCGTCGAGGAGGATCGCCCCTACAACTACAAAAAGCGGCGTCGAAGTAGCACCGATTCCGTACTGTAGTAGGGCCAACGTGGGGTGTGGCCGTACGTGTGGCTGCTATGCTCTGGCTCGGCAAGACAGTAGGCGGAAGGCTTCGTGGTGCAGCTGTAGCGGCATCCGTAATATTGGGCAGTGCGACAGTGGTATCCTGGCCTGGGGTCACATTTGTGGCGTTGACTCCACCAGCGTGTTCGGCCACCAGGTGTCCCCGGTCGGGGTGGACAAGCCGCCACGACTGTACAGCTGAGAATGCTGCAACAATTATTTTCCGTGGCCTCGACAAGCATGCATCCCATACAGCCCCATTTCTTGCTCGCCATATATAATATAGTAGAGCCACTGCATAAATAATCTCATTATCATCTAGAACATTCATAATTCACTAAACCAATCATGAAAAACATTTGTCACACTATTTGTCATTTGTGTTAAACTTATTTGTCACACTATTTGTCATTTGTGTTAAACTTATTTATGCATCATATTACTTATCTCATTACCAATCCACTCATCACCTACCTATCACACCTTGCACCCATCTACCCACCTATTCATCATATGTAATTCCATTATAATCGTTGTTTTCATCCATTCACTACTATTTACTTGTGTATTCTAGCCCTACTATATATATATATATATATATATATATATATATATATATATATACACCTCACGGTAATCTAAATACATACTAACTACTCCAACTACATATATTATCATCTCTTTTTTACTTTATCCACTGTCATTTTTTTACGGTACCTCACATTTACCTAGCTCAAACATAGGGCTAAATGTTGTTCTAATATTCAACTTAAAACTTAAAATTTGAATAGAGTTTTAGATTTTGAGTGAACCTAATTGGTTATTGATTTAAATTATTTTGCAGTTATGGTGTATCGTAACATACATTTGGTTTGAATATTGATGAATATTTAAATTTCACAAATAAATATGTTGATGATCAAAATTACAATTTATAAATACATACAATTATAAAGAGAAAATTTTAAATTTGGTCCCATGACGGTTAATTTCAACACCTAACTTTTAAAAGTGTCAATTTAGTACCTTGAGTATGTAATTTTTGTCAATTTTGGACACTCCGGTCAAATTATCGGCCAAATTTGACGGGAAAAATTTAATTCAACATTTAGTCTATAATCTGAGGGGAAAAATGGTCTTTTGATCATTTCTCCTAATTGTTGTTGACCCAGTTCATACACATTTGACCAGGTTCGACTTTAGCTTCTCCGATTTACATATCTTCGCCGAGGTTTTGGCGTCATTATCCAACAACGGGCTGCTGGAGGATGGCGGTTGGCACTGCTGCATCGGCATAACAACTTAATCATTAGTATCCACGATGCTGCAAGAGATTAAGTTTCAGAAAATGCTTGAACCTCCGCTGGAACTGCTCTGGCTCTTGCCGAACGTGGAATTCAAGGTTGTCGAGCGCGGCGGGCCGCTCTTTTCCTCGGCACCGCACTTCTTCTTCGCGAAGAGCGAGCGAAGGAAGAGGATTTCTGATCGGCGTCGACGCTGCGCCTTCCGTCATGCAGCTCTTCTTCTTCTTCAAGATGAACCGGGTCAACAACAATTAGGAGAAAGGATCAAAAGTCCATTTTGCCCCTCAGATTATATACTAAATGTTGGATTAAATTTTTCCGGCCAAATTTGACCGGAGTGATCAAAATTGACAAAAATTACATACTCAAGGTACTAAATTGACACTTTTAAAAATTAGGTGTTGAAATTAACAAAGTCCCTATAGTCATGTGACCAAAATTGAAAATTTCTCTAATTATAAAACATATATTAAAATAAATATTAATGGAGTAATAATTGAAATATATATTTCACCTAAACCAACTATGTCAGAAAATGATGTCACCCATACAAGGCCTGATGTTGTAACTAATGTCGTGAAATAGAATCAGGTTTCAAAATTTCTAAAAACAAGGAAATGATTTTACTTTTAAACCTCTATGAGATCCATAATAGCAACCTAGAAGGTGTAAAATCCAACACGCCACAAGGAAGAGTACCTTGATAAGTGAAAAAATTCACAAGGTTTGATTAAAACTTGAATTTTCAAGAGAAATAACCGCCTAGGTTTTCTTTTATTTAGAGCATCCACATTTGTTGGGGAGAATTGGGGGATAATGTAAGAATGATTAGGAAAGAGAAGATGGGTGGGGAGAGAAAAAAAGGAAAAAAAAAAGGGAAATTAAATTTTTAAAATTAAAAAAAAAAAAAAAAAGAATGTCAGGCGCGTGCACTGCACGCGCCAGTCAGGCGCTATGGTGACAGCCACGCGTGGCTGTCACCTGTGATGGTTTATTTTAATTTTTTGGTGGGGCCCACCATTGTCTGAAATCTCCCTTCATTTGCAGGAGAATTATCTCTCAAATAATTCTTCTCCACATTAGCTATTATCTTGAGTGGGGAGAATTAATGTCTGAAATATCTCCAAATAATCCACAAATGTGGATGCTCTTAGTCTCAAAGCATTGAATGAATGTCACAAGGAGTTGGTGGAAATATTTATAGACATACTAAAGTAAAATGTGTAAGTAATTAAATTACAAAACAAAACAATCTGGCATAAATAAATAAATAAATAAATAAATAAATAAGTGTGTCATCATAGGCTTGGGTAACAAGACTGTCAAAGCGCTTTGAAGACTTCGTTGTGTGAGAAATTGCACTCTCTAGCCTCATTGGAATATAATGTGAACGAGACTGCTAAGATCTACTAAAGAACCCTCAACTAGCTAAAAGCGACCTCTATTATAGTATTAGAATATAGAGCACAATGCTAAACTCTCACCAACAAGTTACAAGTCTAACGCAACGGTGCACTAGTGACTTAGGTCACTCATGATGTATGTTGGACATTGGTGTGATGTTTAGAGAATCTAATATAGGTTTGACCTATTTCTTGATAGCGACCTCGTCACCATGATCACTTTCAACTATGATTTAATTTAAATATTTAGAATGTTCTAATATAAAGTTCGTTGAAAGTGAAAACATTTAAAAGTATAGGGGTCTTGTTAATTTCAGCCCATGACTTTTAAAAGTATCAATATAGTACCTTAACTATGCAATATTTGTCAATTTTGGTTACTCCGGCCAAATTGCCGGCCAAATTTTGCCGAAAAATTTTAATAGTTAAAATAATGAGGGTATTTTGGTCATTTCAAACCTCTTTTCTTCTTCTCCGGCAAGTTCATCCCTTTCTCTCCCGTTTCCGGTGTTCTTTCTCCCTGTAAACCCCATCTTTAATATCATCAAGCCTCCTTTCCGCATCATCTTAGTTCATTGCATTCGCTAGAAACGGGAGAGGAAGTGATGAACTCGCTTGGGAAGAAGAAAAGAGACGTGAATGACCAGAATACCCTCATTATTTTAACAATTAAAATTTTCCGGCACAATTTGGCCGACAATTTGACCGGAGTGACCAAAATTGACAAAAATTGCATAGTTAAGGTACTAAATTGACACTTTTAAAAGTCAGAGACTGAAATTAACAAGACCCCTATAGTTATATGATCAAAATTGAAATTTTCTCTTTAAAATATTTTAGAGTACTATTTTATCAATTTTTTAAAAAATGAGTGATTTAAAAAAAATGATTGAATGAGTTAATAATAAATGATAAAAATTTAAAATATTATAACTTATTTATAACTTAAAATAAACTATAAGTTCTAGAAAAAGTTCTACCAATATATCGTATAATTTACGGATAAAAGTATTATTTAATGATCATCAAGTAATCATCATGTGTATACCCCCACCCATTGAGAAAGGGATGCGTTCTTTGAGGATGATGGTAATTTGAATTGGATTTCAAAACAGACCGGATTTTAAATTATGGCAAAACAAGGAATCATGTACTTTCGAAAGCCGTGTTATCAAAGACCATAAAAAGTACTTTTGCCAAATGATTTTTTGTTTTGTTTTTGTTTTTGTTTTTTGTTTTTGTTTTTGTTTTTCTTTTTTTTTTCGTATGGTTTATATTTTTTCATTGGTCTGAATTAACGAAATAACATTACGAGCGAGCGATTAAAAAACATTCTCAATTATTTGATTCGATATCTGTGTTTTTTTATATTAATGTTAAGAAAGTTGAAATTTAATATTATTATTTTTTATATAAAATGCGATTATACTTTTGAAAAAGAAAGTTGAAAAAGATGAACGGTACTTTTGTGAAACAATGTTAAAAGTTGGACATTACATATAAAAGAGGATGGTACGCCGGTCAACACTAATAACAGGGAGGTAAAAACGAAAATCGTCAACACTAATAACAGAGAGGCAAAAACGAAAACCGTCGATCGATGACTTAAAAGTCCAGAAAGCAATACAAAAAATGGTCATACTTCGGACCCCTCTCGGATGGATTGTTGGAAAAATAGCATTAAAATGACATTTTGAGTGATTATTTTGTGGTACAAATATATGTGGGATCCACTTTCAATTTGGGTCGGGTCAATGTGGATTCAGGTTCTTCGTAGTGAGACGAAGAATTTGATATAATGTACGCTCAAAATGGGTAATAGGTGAATGAGAAATTGATTATCAAAGTGAACCTATTTGAGAGACGTCAAAAACTTAAGTTTAGATGCTAATTAAAAAATTAGCATTTTAACAACTTTCGTTGCCTGCACGAAAGTTTGTGTTAAAAGCTTAAGTGTGATTAAGCTTTGGAAAGTTTAATTGGAATTTGGGACAAAGGTGCATGGATAAGCTTAAGAATTGTAAGCTTTAATTAGAAAGCTTAATTTGGGTTTGAAAGCACAAATTCATGTTGGCACAAGTTTCGTGGCTCAATGATGCATGCACGAAACTTGAAAGCTTATTTTTAAGCTTTCGTGTGGTGCCTTGATTTTTAATAATCTTTGGCTCCTTTTGTGCTCCTATCGTGGCAGCAGCACGAGTCAATGCTTTATGCATTGATTCGTGCTGCACCGTTTCGGTGCTTGCAGACCACTCGGGTGTGGTTTCCGGTCCCAATTCGTTAAACTTTCGGGTTTATACGAACTTCTCGGTCAATCAGATATTTTGAACTAGGTCGTTATGGTTGGTACGAATTAATCGGATATTAAGTTCGTGACTGTTAATATTATTTCGATAATAAGTACGACCGTTTCAAACGTTAGAATTCAATTTTTAAATTGAATTTATGTTGGTTAATGTGTCATGATGATGCTATTTAGTATCAATCTCCTATATAAACATGTTGTGGGAGCAACCTTTTTGGAGATAATGTGAGAAAGAAAGTGAGAAACAACACAAGAACACACACAAAGAAATTCTCTTTTCCTCTCAAAATTCTGCTCCTACTCCATTCTTGAAGCTGTGTTTTGCCCGTGCTCTTGTTCGCCGGGTTCGTTCTTTTGGGTACTCAAACGTCGAACCGTTGTACGTTTTATCCTGGGAGACCTAGCCCACAACGCTCCTAGCACTTTTGGGATGTGGCAAATAAGGTTTTAAGGAAAGAAAGACACTTCGCCTAACTCGTACATTTCTTTCTTCCTTCTCCTTCTTTCTTGTTTAGATTATACTTGTAAGCAAGAATCCGTTCTCCATCTTTTGATATATTCGTGGTTGATATATATTGGTATATCTTTTTCGTAGATATACATGTATATATAACCTTTAAGTCCGTTTATATATATTGGTGTGTATATATATATTTCGGATAAATATCCAATAATATTTTATAGGCTAAAGTGTCATTCCGCACCATGAACCAACATTGATTTTTCATGCCGCACCCTAGTCTTTTATAAGTGTTAATTAGATGCACAAACCAAACAAAAAAAATCATCTAGAACTTTTTACAGGTTACTTATAGGTTGCAGGTTATAATTTGCTGACATGGATTTTTTCTTTTATTTTTCATCAACACATGTAATCAACACAGTCTTCTCGCCCTCCCCTCTCCTTTAATTTGATCTCAGCCGTCAACTTGTAGCTCTTCTCGGGTGCTCCCTTGCTCCCGTCAGTCGTTGTTAATCTTCACCACCCATTTGTACTTCCGGTCAAACCCATCCTCCTTCGAACTCTTGATCTCCGACGTCCAGGTGTACTTCTTGTCCCCAACTTTTGTCTTCTTCTTCTCCCGCTATAACCGGTCAAACTCTAATTTCAGCGTCGAGACCCGATCACACAGGCTCTGTAAGCAGTGGAGGATTCACCACAGTTTATTTCGGGAAGTTCGCTGATTCAACATTGACGGCGATGATAATCGTGGACTTATTCATGTTTAGCATTTCTCTTTTAGCCATTGACGGCGATGATAATCGGGAAGTTCTCTTTTATCGACGCAGAAAGAAGAGTGTTAGCCAACACCCTACTTGATCTCTCCAACTCGATCTCGCCCTCCATCTTCTTCCTCGACGACGGACAACGGTGATGGCAAGTTGGCAACTACACTTTGTCTCGCTTCTAGACGCCGCCAAACACCGTCGTGCACTGCTATAATAATATTAGTTCTTTGTTCTCATTGCCCACTGAGAAAAACTTCTGAATAAGGTAACTCCCAGATTGGTTCTTCAGCAAATTAAATCACACCACGTATTCTATAACCTCAGATAGCACAATCTCAGTTCCTTCATTGTCCAAGAAAACGAGATTATCCTGCAATATTCTGCTCCCATTTTGATCCTTTGCTAAAGAAACTATCTTTCCTCGAATATCCTCAAGATTCAAGGTTCCTTGATGAATTTCATTCTTCTTGGTCAAATTACAGGTCAGAGCATTCGAAAAAGAATGGGCAAGAAAGAAAGGAATCTCCGGCACCGTCAGAGGGTGGTAACGACGGAGCCCGTAATCCGATGACACACGCAGATGGGAGAGAACTGATTCGAGGCCAAGAACATCGGGGGGTTTGGGTAAATCTCCGGCAAGCTGCTCCTCTGCGGTGGAGAATTCTGGTGCGGTTGAGGCACCGTCGCCGGCTGAAGATACGATGGGGTTCTCACTCCCCAGTGCTGCCTCTCCATCACCGTTACGAAAAGGGAATAGGCAAGAAAAAGGAAGGAAAAAAAATCTCAGATTCAGATAGATAGATATTGTTGCTGCCTGCTTGCTTCGCCGGAAGGGAACGCCGGAGCTCACTCCGTCTCTTGTTCCTTCTTCGTCCAGATAGCGAGAGAGAAAGAGAGCTCACGCTGGTGTCAAGTTTTTTTTTTTTTTTTTTTTAATAATTAAAAATGCTTCTGTGGACTCCATCTCTCAGGTTTAATAAGTCCACATCAATACTACCGGCGCCAAGTCATCAACTTTACCGGATAACTTGTTAAAAGTTCTAAATGAAAAAAAAAAAATTAATTTGTGCATCTCATCAGCACTTATGAAAGTTCGTGGTGCGGCATGAAGAATCGCTATTGGTTTATGGTGCGGAATGACACTTTAGCCTATTTTATATACTTATGTGTGTATATATAAATATTATTTTTGAGATATTAAATCGATTTTGGTTCTTTATCACCAACATGGATTGACTTGTATTTCAACAACCGTATCTAGATTCGAACTCTTCAACGTTTACAAAAATTTTGGGAGCTCAGTGTACGATTGTTCAAACTTCTCATATATTTTTTCAACTGTTTTTTGACGGGTGTACTATCCTTTTTTGTATGTAATGTCCAACCCATAACATTGTTTCACAAAAATACCACTAATCTTTTTTAACTTTCTTTTTCAAAGTATAATTGCATTTTATATATAAAAAAATTACATTTCAACTTTCTTAACATTAATATAAAAAATACAGATATCAAATCAAATAATTGAGAATGTTTTTCAATTGCTTCCTCATAAGTCATAATGTTATTACAAAACGGCTTCCAAAAGTATAAAACTTTCAAAATCTTGGATAATAAAACTTTCAAAAGTAAGTAATTCCTTGTTTTGATATGATTTAAAAATCGGTCTGTTTTGGAATCCAATTCAAAAAAGAGTCTCCGGCAAGGTTATGATTCTTGAGAAAGAGAGAGGAAGGAGAAAAGTCTGGGGTTGGGTGGTGGGTGGAAATGCCTAGCGTCGGTGTAAAATTCTCTAGTGTTGTCTTTAAGCATATGTTGAAGCATCGGCTGCAGAACCGAATCCAAAACGTAGATGGAACCGATGGCGCCACCTCATTTGGCGTCACGTCCCGCCCGGAGGAGGAACCGATCGCCGCCGCTAATCCTGTGTTCGCCGACGCCGTCGCCACCAAGGATATACATATCGATCCCTTAACTTCTCTCTCCCTCAGAATATTCCTTCCCGATACCTGCCTCAACTCCCCGGACTCCCATCCCAAGCTCCAATCCAAATCTAAGGACAACGATTCATTTAAAAAGTCGGATTCCTTCTCAGGACCCGATCCTAACCAGCCTCTTTTTCGCCGGAACAGCATTGATTCTCTTGCCTTTAACAATATCGCGGATGTTTCGCAGACGGAGAGGAAAGGTCATAATCGGAGAAATAGCGACGGATGGCGTGACATTGACTTGAATTTGATAAGCGGCGAGAATGGGGTGTACATCGGATATTCACCGGCCGGTAAGAAACCTAGAAAATTGCCGGTGATGTTGCAATTTCACTCTGGCGGATTTGTTAGCGGGAGCAACAATACGGTGGCGAATGATTTGTTCTGTAGGAGAATTGCAAAACTGTGCGATGTGATTGTTTTGGGAGTTGGATACAGGTTAGCTCCAGAGAATCGGTTCCCGGCAGCCTTTGAGGATGGATTGAAGGTGCTGCATTGGTTGGCGAAGCAGTCGAATTTGGCAGGATGTAGTAAATCACAAAGTAGGAGCAAGCGCGGTGGTGGTGGAGGAGCAGATTTGAGAAAGTCTGATGTTCAGGAGCATGTTGCCGATGCCTTTGGAGCATCAATGGTGGAGCCTTGGTTGGCTGCTCATGCTGATCCATCAAGGTTAGTTTGCATCTTTTGGTGTGGTGCTTATTCTCTTCTATTGTGGTAATTTGATTGATTGAACTGAAGATCAAACAGAAATGTGGATTTGACAAGTGTATATCTGTTGTATTGCCTTATTTCTGGTTATTAATGCTACAATTCTAATGCTAGTATGAATAAGCCAAAAACTATAGTGTAGTAGCAATTCTCCCCGTGACTTGGGATTAAGCGCTTATCACTATGCCAAAAGCTATAGCTAATAGCGCAACTTTGCCACATTTGAGACAGGGTGCTGAACTTGGCCCTTTTAGGCCTCCACCCAACGATCTCCCTAACCAGGTGCTGGACTTGGCTCTTCACCGGCCTTTGCCCAACATAGATTGATGTGAGCATGGTGGTAATGAACAACATATACATGGTGCATACGCCCCATATGACTACCTACTTTACAAGTATTCCCAAAATTCATTGGTAGGAATCTTTATTTCCATTTCTCCTTGGTCTTTTCACTTTTGAGACATTAAGATTCACCAAAGTCTAACACACACACACAGCGAAATTCTTCAGTGCCTCCTAGGCTGCTACTCCATGTCTCCTTCCAGAACTGGAAAGTGCAGAGGTATTTTAATCATATTAAGTGATTGAGAACAGAAGAAAAGGAAGTGTATGTTTTGGTCAATAAGCAATTTCCAAATGGCTAGGGTAGATCCTCAAAGAAATTTATATTATCTGTGATCATTGAATTCTTCAGTTATGTGTGGGTGTTTGTGAACTTTCTACAATGTAGAATTCTTAATAGGAACAAACCTATAAGTCTACTTATTTATTACTTGATACGAATGCTAAGAGGCCATTTGCATATGATTTCTAATAAGGTAAATTCATATATTACTTGATGTGTCCTAACCCAGTAACCCCTGCTAAAAGCCTAACACTTCCTGCATCCTCATCTTGTGCAGATGTGTCCTTCTTGGGGTAAGCTGTGGGGGAAACATTGTAGATTATGTGACTCGGAAAGCTGTAGAGGCAGGTAAGCTTTTGGACCCAGTAAGGGTGGTTGCACAGGTTTTGATGTACCCTTTTTTCATTGGAAGTGTTCCAATGAATTCAGAGATAAAACTGGCAAATTCCTACTTCTACGACAAGGAGACATGTATACTTGCATGGAAATTATTATTTCCCGAGGAGGAGTTCGATTTAGACCACCCTGCTGCCAATCCACTTGTCCCGGGAAGGGGTCCTCCATTAAAGAAGATGCCTCCAACATTGACAGTAGTGGCAGAGCATGACTGGATGCAAGATAGAGCCATTGCATACGCAGGGAAACTCCGGAAGGTCAATGTTGATGCTCCTGTTCTCTACTATAAGGATGCGGTCCATGAATTTGCAACAATTGGCATGCTTCTTAATACTCCTCAAGCTCAAGCTTGTGCTGAGGACATTTCGATCTGGGTTAAGAAGTATATTTCACTTCGAGGCCATGAGTTTTCATACTAAGTAAGTTGATGGTTGAGTTATAGTTTAGGTGTCTTCATACTCGATTCATGGTGGGTGGGCTTTTCTCCTGAGGTTCACTCTTCTCCTTGTAAAATATTTTGAGGCGATGTAGCAGGAAACACTGTTGCAGTTGTCTACATTTTTGTACCATCTCTTGTGAATAAAACTTTTTTGTAATGAAATATATCCTAATTCTCTTCCTTTTGTAGTGATTTGAATTCATACCCCAAAGAAATTTACAATACATTCACTAAAAATGGCTGTATATATCTTTTAAGTTTCAATGCCATTTCAATGTATTAGTACAAAATAACAGATGGATTCTAACCTCCAAGGGGCATTCAGAGGAGAAGGTGGAGAAAAAACCATAACAATAGAGTAATTGTTAAAACATGCCAACCAGAGTTCAGTATGTTCCCCGACTTCTAGTTCGAATGTTAATGGCTCTTGACGCCATAGCTCTCAGATTTGCTCTGGCCACTGCAAGGGAGGAGGTCCTCCTGCGTTGTTCCTCCTGTTCCTCAGAATCATCCCTGAAAGCTGCCATGAATTCCTCTCTTTGCAATCTCAATGCCAATGCAGAATCCTCATCCTGGCTTGGCAACTCCCTTCTTGACCTTACACTCACGAAATCGCCTCTACTTGGCCTCCCACTCTCTCTTCTTACTCTACTCCTGCTGGTGTTTGCTCTTCCCAGGCTTTGATGCTGCTGCTGCTCACTTTCTGCCTCTGGACTATTATTATTATTTAACATCCCAACTCTTCGATTTCGACTATTATGATGATGATGATGAGTTCTTGCTGGACTTTGTTGCTGAACTTTACCATTACTAGCTTTCCTTGCTTCAACTTCTTGTGGAAATAATAACTGAATTGTATTCCAGAGAACTGTATTCACAGTGCAAGATCTTCCATTGCTGTAAGATCAAAACTCAGAAGATTATATATACATAATTCATCAACCATGATTCTTGAAACAAACAAACAAACCTTACTGACGCTTACTACATAGAATTGAAACATGTGCTCCATCTCAACTAAAAGTTTAAGCTGATAGTTGGATTGATGGAATCTAAGCAACACAAGCTGATAGTTTGATTGCACATTTATGTTTATATATTATATTATATGCTAAAAACACGGAGTGATAGAGATATCCAAAAGGTACCTGATAAGCTGCCTGCATTTTGGGCATTTCTTCCCGCATTTATCAGCAGCAGATCTCAAACACTTTTTACAGAAACTACAAACCAATTGAATGCAAATTACTCATAAATTTCAACTACTAAATGACTGAATGGACTAGAATTGGTAAGTTAGATTGTACCTGTGTCCACAAGGAGTGGTACTTGGTTCAAAACAAATCTCCAAACAAATCTGCAAATTCCATGGACCAATTTCTAAATTGCAAGATCATAGAAAGAAACAAGCTATAAATACATAATTGAGATTGGGGGAGTAACTCTTACAGCACAAGAAAGTTCTTCACGAAGCTTATCAATGCTGCAGGGGATTGATGGTTCCTTTGCCTTTGACTCAGCATTTCCTCCTTTCTTACTGTCGGAAGTTCCACCGGACTCGGTGGTTTCTGTCTCCTTTTTCTCGCATTCAACTTCTTCGAGATCGAGAACCGTCACGCGTATCTGAGCCCTCCTTTTCCTGGAAACACCGAATTTTAGACGGAAACAATGGAACGCCATGAATACAGACAGAGATGTATGGTAATACCTTCTCGATTTGGTGGATGGAGTGGTGGAATTGAGGAGACCAGTGCGTTTTTTCTGTTCCGGATTTCGGTCGGGAGTGTCTTCTACTACGAGAGACGCCATCAGAAGCGCCTCTTCGTCCCAACCAGCCATCGCCGCCACGGACCGGAACCCAGGGCTAAACAGAGTGCTTGATTTTTCTCCATCTTCAGATTTTGGCTTCTGGGGGTGGGGGCACTCCTCTTCCTTCGCCATTGTTTCTCTCATGTCGGAATTCGCCCTGCGCTAGGGTTTTGAAATAACCGTTAGATTTTGAATCTTTGGGCAGGGCATCCCAGATATAACGGCTATGTTTGAGGGGAGTTATGTTGTGTTCTCAGATGCAGCCAGTACCGTGCACCTCGAAATAATATACACCTTTTACCTTTTACCTTTTACCTGGTAGGCAGAAGAGAATTGACTGAAATAGACAAATATATATTGTGATAAGCGAAAATAGGTAATATTTTAAAATTTAGATTTTCTTTTTGAAAACATTTTAAAATTTAGATAAAGTTAGACAAAACTAATTTGAGATCAAGGACGGATCCAGAAATCTTTTTCAGTGGGAATGAAAAAATTAAAACTAATGAGATATTTTGAAAAAAAAAATGAAACACTTAATAGACCGAGTCATAAATATTATTGATTAGAGGTGAAAAATCAAAATACATTAAGATAAAAAAATATTTAAAACAAAATATAAAATATAATTAATTAGATAAAATAGTTTGAATGGAAAACATATTATAAATCATTCATCTCACTATTAATTAATATTAAAAAAAAAAGTCACAATGTTACAAATAAAAAATTCTATTAGAATTCTCATTATTAATATTAAAAAATGTCAAAAACTAAATTTCACTCATCTCACTATTAATATTAAAAAATAAAAATCACTATTAATATTAAAAAATAAAAATAAAAAAGCCAAAATATTACAAATGTTTGAGGGGAGTTATGTTGTGTTCTCAGATGCAGCTAGTACCCTGCACCGCCAAAGAATATACACCTTTTACCTTTACCTGCTACTCTGCTAGGCAGAAGAGAATTGACTGAAATAGACAAATATACATTGTGATAAGCAAAAATAGGTAATATTTTAAAGAGTAAATATCTAAAATGGTCCTTCGACTATAGCTAAATTCACAAATTGGTCTTCGACTTTCAATTTCAACCAATTAAGTCTTTAACTTTGCAATTTTAATACGATTTTGTCCTTTGTTAGTTTCTCGTTTAATTGCCGTGAAACTGAAGAACAAAGTGGTAATTTCACATCATGCTTGCGTTATCCCTTCACCAGCATGTTGTAATATGTTGAAGAATGTTGCGTTATCTCTTCACTCAAGTTGTAATTTCACTTGAAGCCATTGTTGCGCTCATAACCGTGAAACCCAATGCATCTACCACTCTTCCTACAAGTGACCGGCCAGTAACCTGTACAAATTGCAGAACCCCACCGCAGTTCCACCGCACCGGAACCTGTTCATAAACATAAACAAACTATACGAATGTTCAACTGGAAGAAGCTGCTGTAGATCTTCAAGCTTCGGTTGCCGGAGAAACTCACCCAAATCGTAATTTGTAACATGAGCTCGGACGAACTCCGCGCCCTCATCGTTGCACTCATTTGTTGATCCATCTTCAAGAAGCCTTCCGGCGAGCGGATACAAGACAGGCAATGTCTTATAGGGCGATTCTTGGGGCTCATCATAATCGTGGCGACGAGGGCTAAATTCTACCGTCAACTTTGCAATTTCTACCCAATTTTCTTTGTATTTCGTCGAATTGAAGCCAAGAGCTCCCACGACTGGACCACCGGCAGGTCGCGACTCTGTCGCAAGGGGGCTGTCGAATTGAGCTTAAGTCAGGTGAACAGGTAGCCACAACCACACTGAGACCATCACCACCGTCGTTTCCTTTGTCGGCCTCCTTTGTTCGCCGGAAACTCGCCGGTTGCACAACAAATCCCGAGAAGTCCAGAGACTTCCGATCGACAATCTGACCAGCGGGGATATTCTCGGCACATCCCCAACGCGATCTACACCCTTCGATCGTCCATGCAATGGCTCAATCTCCGGCAAATTCCAGGATGGAGAACTCGAGGGACACACAGAGCTTTCTGATCGGATGGCCGAGGCATCTTCGCGACACACACCATCTCTCGCCTCAGCCTTCGCAGACAGCTTCCGCCAGAGAGACGACGCCGACAGGGGAAAAGGATGTTGGAGTACTGGAGTTTTTTATGGCAATTACCATGTGAAAGACAACAACTAAACAGGCGATGGAGAAACCATGTGAAATTACCAAGCTGTCCTTCGATTTCACGACAATTAAACGGGGAGACTAGCAGAGGACGAAATTGAGTCAAATTCCGAAGCTTAAGGTTGAATTTGTGAATTTAGCTATAGTCGTGGGACCATTTTGGATATTTACTCTATTTTAAATTTTAGATTTTTTTTTTAAAAAAAAAAATTTAAAAATTTAGATAAAGTTAGACAAAACTAATTTGTGACCAAGGGCGGATACAAAAATATTTTTCAGTGGGAGCAAAAGATTAAAATTAATGAGATATTTTGAAAAAAAAATAAAACACTTAAGAGATCGAATCATAAATATTGTTGATTAGAGATGAAAAAACAAAATACATAAGTTAAAAAATATTTAAAATAAAATATAAAATATAATTAATTAGATAAAATAATTTGAATGAAAAACATATTATAAATCACACATCTCACTATTAATTAATATTAAAAATAAAAAAATAAAATAAAAAAGAGAAGAAGTCACAATGTTATAAATAAAAAAATTCTATTACAATTCTCACTACTAATATTAAAAAATATCAAAAATTAAATTTCATGAATCTCACTATTAATACGGGATTTGAACCATTGACCATTTCATCATTTTATATTATATTATATTATATTATATTATATTATATTATATATATATATATATATATATATATATATATATATATATATAGAGAGAGAGAGAGAGAGAGAGAGAGAGAGAGAGAGAGAGAGAGAGAGAGAGAGAGAGAGAGAGAGAGAGAAATAATGGTCTTACCATCTAAGTCAAATTAACCTATACAAAATAATTATTTTAAATGTAAAAATATTCATTTAACAATAAATGGGAAAAAACTGCAACTTTTAACATAATTGAAGGGACAAATGTAGATACATGAATAATTCATGAAAAAAGTGTTATAAGCATATAACTCAGCGTGAAAAAGTGTCAATTTTCCATTACAAAATAAAATATTTGTATGAAAATAAATTAAAAAAAATAACACAACTTATTTTTATTATTACATTATATAGTATAAATATATTAATTATTTTTACTTAGAATTTAGAAATGGATATTTATATTGATTGAATGATGTATAAGTTTATATTTATTAATGTAAATGTGTTAGTTCAAAATTGAAATTTCATAATGTTAACTTGAAAATGTCAAAAGTTTTAATTGAGTTTGCCTGATAAGTCCGACAGCTTGATAGAACTAGCCCGAAATCAAAGGACTAACTCGATTGTCATCCTACAACATAGTGCTAAAAAAAATGTGAATTTTCACACTCCATATTAATAATATTTTCTGTTAAATACATTAATGTGATAATAACTTGAAATTCTATATTTAATCAAAATTGGTAATATTTTTCTACTAAATTGAAATATATTCAACAATTTTTTTAAAATTTTAAGGTAAAGATGATATTTTTACCTGGATTGGATGGATTGGAAGAATTTATTGATAGAGAACTAGGGCTCAACTTAAGAAAATTTGAGAAGCAAGTGAATGTTGGATAGTTATGCTGTGCAACCATGGTGCACACGGTTGCAAAACGACGTCGTTTTGATTAAAAAAGCGCGTCCTATTTAAAAAAAAAAAATCAGTTTCGATTTCCCTCAACAGCATTATTGTGGATATATAGTTATGAATTACTGTGGATATATAGTTATGAATTTGTGGATATATAGTTATGAATTTATGGATATTTAGTTCATTCATTCTGAATTTTGTGTTATTCATTCACTGTGGATATATAGTTATGAATTTGTGGATAAATAATTCAAATTATGCACAAAAAAATATTATCGCTGGGAATCAAACCTGAATATTTTTTTTTTTTTTAAAGTAGGACGCGCGTTTTTAGTCAAAACGACGTCGTTTTTGCAACCGTGTGCACCATGGTGCACACGGTTGCACAGCATTACTTTTTTTTTTTTTTTTTTTTTTAAAGTATAACGCGCGTTTTTAGTCAAAACGACGTCGTTTTTGCAACCGTGTGCACCATACATGGTGCACACGGTTACACAGCATAATTTGCGAAGAATGTTGGACCCATGTAATATTAGATCTGATCAATCTAATGTCACGTGAAACAATCTCACAAAATAGTCATCATTTTTATAAGCACATTTTTTTTGACAGACTACAAGGTGGACCGGCCCAATTAAAGAGCAATGTACTGCCAAATTGATTTTTCCACACAAGAGGAGGTTCGAAGTCTTGACCCAACTATTATTGTGTGGACCATGATCTATACAAGTTGTATGGATCATATTTTGTAGACTATAAAATAATGTACATTCAGTACAAAAATAATGTACATTCAGCATAAAAATAATATACATTGTATTCAGGGGATGTACATTATTGTTGTACTGAGTGTATATTATATTGTATAATGTACATTCAGTACAAAAATAATGTACAACAATAATTTACCATATTGACCTCTCTTGAAGAATAAAAATGCACAATCACTTACACCAACCAAGCCTGTTAATTTAAAATAATATTTTAAGAGTCTGTGTGTGTATAATTTAAAGGAAGTGATAATGTGCACGTATGAATATGAATATTGAATAATGAGATACACTGTACAAACTTACAATTAATTGCGTGCACCCGCCTACACGTAACACTTACATTACATTTTTTTTTCGAATACACCTACATTACATTTATTAACATAAAACTTTAAATATATATATATAAGAGTAATACATACAATTATTATATGACTAAAAGATACGGATTAAATTTAATTCTGTGATTAATCATATCTTAATTAATTAATTAATTACATTTCTTCAACTAGACACCAACCTTCATCTCCCTCTACTTGTTCCAACAGGAATCCCACCTCACAGAAGCTTATCGCATCGTCATCGACGTCGACGTCGACGTCATCGCCGCCGTCGAGGTCACCGTAATCGTCCGCCTCAATTTGGACGGACAACGGCGACGGGACGAAATCCAAATCGACAAATAAACCGGGTGGGAGATAATCCAAACCGCCGGATTCTTCGTGCACGTCATCGTAATCGTAATCATAATCATAATCCATGTAATCGGCGGCGGCGAAACGATCCAAAATCCCGGTGGCCGATAAGCCGGAAAATTTAAAGCCGGGTCCGCCATCGGCGACCCGAGTGGTCAATCTATAGCTAGAAACGACGACGTCGCGGGATCTGAGCTTGTGCGTCCCCTTGGCCTTGTCCTTGGCTTTACCGACGTGATGGGCGCACTTGGAGCGGATGCGAGTCGGGGAGACTCTGAGCAAGAGCCCCGCCGCCGTTGGGGGCGAGTCGGATAGCTTGTTGGCGGAGGTGGAGGGGCCGAATTTGGGGCTCCATGGGACCATTCCATTTTGGCGACCTTCTTTCTTCATTATCGATTGGAAGTGAATTGAGCTAAGAGAGAGATATATTGGAAGGGAAAATGGAGATTGAAGAGTTTAAATAGAAGAAGAAACATAAATGGGGAAAAACTTAGGGAGCAAGTCCATGTGGTGTATTATGCGGTCAAACTGTTCTTTATTTTAGGTGCGTATTGCCCAAGCAAATTAAAAATGCTTTTTTTTTTATATTTTTTTTATACCTTATTCTTTATTTTTATACTTTTTTAAAAAATTTAAATCAATTAAACTCATATCAGAATATATTAATTGCCTTTTTAAAAAAATAATTTACACTTCTTGTCTGAGGTAATTCAAATTTTTCATTTTTTTTTAAAAAAAAGTTAAATTTAAGGTCTGTTAGAAATCTGGAAACAAAAATTGAAAAATATTTTTTAGAAAATTATTCATTTTTTGTAAAATATTATAATTTTTTGGCGGTGGCAGTAGTGGTGGAAATTGCAATCCGCTACGCGAATATTCACCTGCATGGATTGAATTTTTTTTGGATAATAATTGGTGGTGGATCGGGAGGTAAACTGGGTTAGATGCGGGTTCTATATACAAAACCACCTAGAATCGCAGTTGATCCACCATATTTAAATATAAATATAAATAAATAAATAATGTGTGTGTGGATGAGATCAGGTGAGAAGAGGCATCCAGGTAAAATATGACAAGCAATTTGAGCCGATATAGATGAGATTAGGTGAGAAGAGGTGTCCAAGTAAAACATGCGAAGAAATTTGAGCTATTCATTTTTCCATATCATTGTTCTAAAAAATGAGCAAATTTTCCTGCATGCATAGTATAGCCTTTTGTACTTGTAGTGTGAAACTTATGCATCTGTAGTGTAAAAATTGTGCACTTGTAGTGTAAAAATTGTGCACTTCAAAGTTAGAAAATTTTACCAAAATGTCACTACGTTTTTAAACTTATATTACTCTAAGCACTTGTTGTATAAAACCTATCCACCAGTAGTGCAAAACTTGTGCACTTGTACTACAAAATTAGTGCACTTCAAAGTTATTACTCTTTACACTCATAGTATAAGTGCATAACCTTGTGCACTTCAAAATTATAAAAAATTATCTAAATGCTACCACATTATTTAAAATTTCTCTACATTCAGGGGCGTTGATCTAGACCATATTAAAGGTTGAGATTTCTCCCCATTTTTTTAAACCTAGGAGCTAAGAGTATGTATTCCCCTATAGCCATTAAACTGGTATTCAGCTTATATTCTGTTAGATCTTATGTATATATTCAGTTTAAAGAGTATGTATTCCCCTATAGCCTATATAGCTAATATTCTGTTAGATCTTATGTATATAAACCCACGCAGTGTAGCTCTCAAAGCGTGTATTAAAAATATATTTTTTCCAAGATATCTTCTTCAATCAAGAGGGGTAAAAAAGTAATATGATTAATCTTTTTTTTTTTTTTTTTTGCATAGGAGGAGCTCACATTTATTTGATTCTCCTCAATGACAAACTCCTCTCGTCTGAATCTAATAACCCACCATTCCACTGGAGGTGGCACTTCCTCAAGAATCGTAGTCTTTCCTCAGTCCCTAGCTTAACCCAAATTAATTAGGAAGTAGGGGCATTTGATTCTCTTCCCTTTGAATATGTGACAAGTTTAAGCTCTCCACCCTCCTAATTAAGTAGCTCCCTACAGTTTATGATCAACGTGTTTGCCTCAGGTCTTCAATCGATCCATTCCAATTATTACCTGAACTAACGCCTCCGAGTCCATCTCCACTTCAATTCTATTGAGATTAATAAGAATAAGAAACAATAATAATGACAGAAAGTAAAGAAGACATGATTTACGTGGTTCGATAATGTGTCTATCTCCACACAATGAAATTATTCTTTTATTCATAATGATGGTGATTATAATGGTACACTACCTAGGATACAACTAATGTATTTATAGGAGTATATCCCTATACAATTAGTTCGACCCAATCCACTACATTCGTATTTATTATATGAAAACATACTCATATTCTTTATATGAGACAAATTCATATTATTTATGAGACAAATTCAGTAATCTTCACCTTGACGAATATGCATTTTTAAGAGAAAAGACTTATCTCACATATACAAATGAATCGGAATAACCATGCTCATCCTAATTGGCCAACCACATGCACCATGCACCATCTAGCGTTCTCCCGGTGCATGCTCACGAATTACTTTATCACAAGTCGTTTGCCCCTAACTGTCGACTTGCCATACCGTCTGCGACTCATGCTAAGTCCTCATCCCACCCAGCACTCGTGTTGCCCATCGCTATAACACCACTCACATGTTCATCTAGTATTTTGAAACACCCAACAAGTCCAAAAAATGTTCATCTTGTTACTAAAAACCATTAGAACACCACTTTCACTATAATCTGAGTCATTAGCTTGTACCACGTTTCCAGCTTTCTGCTTCTTCAACTTTGGACCGTCTCTTTTCATGTGCCCAATCTCCTTACACTTGTAGCATCCAATTTCTTTATTATTTCTGTACTTAGACCTAGACTTTATCTCTTCCCACAATTATAACTCTCCTGCTCTTCCTTCCACAATCCTGACTCATCTTAACATAAAACTATCACCAATAGAGCCCTCCCATGCATTCTGTCTGCGTTGATTAAGAGCCAGAAGAGCTACATTGATCTCATTAGATTTAATCGTGACTTTTCTGTATGTAAGAGTAGTTACTAGATGTTCAAAGGAAAGAGACAGTTAAAATAGCAAGACCATTGTCTTGTCTTCATCTTCAATTTTGACATCAATCTTGACCAAATTTGAGATTATCTGGCTAAAAACATTAATATGATGCACCAAGTCGAATCCTTCTGCATCTTAAGCTCATAAAACCTTTGTTTTAGATAAAATGTGTTTGTTAGAGATTTTTTTCATGGATTGAGTCTACAACTTTTTGCCATCAAGGTTTTGAGAATGTCTTGTTGTGCCAACAAATTCTTTGCCTTAGACTACCATCAAACCCTTTACCTAAACTACCATACCTCAAAATTTTCTGTACCATCAAACTTTGATACCTCAAATTTTACACTTGAACTGGTTATCTCAATAGTGCTTTAATACTAATTTGTTGGGATTAAGAAGAACAATAAACAATAAAAGTGACGGAAAGTAAAAAAAACATGATTTACGTGGTTCGGCAATATGCCTACCTCCACGGGAGTAAAACTATTCTTTAATTCATAGTGATGGTCCATACAACACCTAAAGATACAACCGCTTCACTCCTATTCCTTATATAAGATATGATAGACTCATATTCATATTCCTTATATGAGGGAAACTCAACAAATTCTCTTTAATCCCATATCTCTAGCCATTCTGAGCCTTCTCTTAGCCCCCACAATTCCACCAAGCCACAAAGGTGGACATTACCTCAAACTATCGCATTCTTCATGCACATCATCGTAATCGTAATCATAATCCATGTAATCCGCGATGGCCAAGCGATCCAAAATCCCAGTGGCCGATAACCCAGAAAATTTAAAGTCGGGCCCGCCTTCCGTGACCCGCCAAGTGGTCAATCTAGAGTTAGAAACGACAACGTCGCGGGACTTGAGCTTGTGCGTCCCCTTGTCTTTGGTTTTACCGACCGAATGAGGGGGGCGGAAGCACTTGGACCGGATGTGGATGGTGGCCGGAAGCTTTTGGACCGGACGTGTTGGGGGCGAGTCGGACAGCTTGTAGGGGCCGAATCTTGAGTTCCATGGGAGCATTCCATATTGGCGACCTTCTTTCTTCATTGTCGATTGGAAGTCAATTGTGAGCTAAGAGAGATATATTGGAAGGGAAAATGAAGATTGAAGAGTTTAAATAGAAGAAGAAACAGAAATGGGAAAATACTCGGGGAGCAAGTCCATGTCAAGTTGTCAACATGTCCATGTGGTGTATAATGCAGTCAAACTGTGCTTTATTTTAGGTGCGTGTTGCCCAAGCCAGCACACCAATTAATACTTGCTTTTTTATACCTTATTTTTATTTTTATACTTTTTAATTTTTTTTAAATCAATTAAAATTATATCAGAATATATTAATTGCCTTAAAAAAAATAATTTACACTTTTTGTGTGAGTTAATTCAATTTTTCATTAAAAAAAACTAAGTTCAATGAAAAATATTTATTGTAAAAAATAATGGGAAAATTATAATTTATGCCCTCCATAATATGTCAATTATTAATGTCACACCTGAATTATTAATTGTGTGAATATTACCCCTCAATTTTTAAAACGGTACCTATAGTACCCCCCGTAGTGTAAATGTTGCCCCTCAATTGGGTACACATGCCCTCCCGTAGTTTTGGCATGTGTAAAGTCGTTTACAGCCTGTGAAGTTTACTGTTTACAGTATTCAAATTCGGAATTCCCATATTGAAGTGCAAGTCTCTACACTGGAAACAAGTTTCCTTAACCATGAACGCATTGGCATAGCTAGTTTAATGCAAAACTCACCTGGTTTGGAAAATTTACCAATTTTAGCCAGTAACTTGTATGGGTTTTGGATATTAACTCTTAAAATATAGACCCATGGTGTATAAGAGAGAAAACATGCAAAACTACGTTGCACACCAAAAAGAGTTAATATCTCTATTTCATAGATCCTCTCTGTGGCACAATTTTAATTGTTTAATAATCTGCTACATGAAAAACAAGAAAGACAATAAACTACACAGTCCATGAGAAACCATAGGCACACATTTGTAATGCATTATTGCATATTTTTGCAACTTTACCACATACCACACTTGAAAGTATCATTTGGTTTAAATGGATGGAGTCAAGAATGACAATGATAAATCCTTCAACCTGTAATAAGAAAATCTACTAGCGGATGCAATTTGATAGCACCACTAATTTTGAGAATATTTAGAAGCTCATGCAAGACTTTGAAGAAAATTACCCCAGTTTAATATCCATAGTACACCTTTTAAGTTTGAGCAACTATTTTGATAACAATAACAGTGTTATGCTTATCAATCAACACCTCAATTGTTACAATAACAGTTTCAATTGTTACAAATTGTATGGGTTTCATTGACATTCAATTCACAGATTATATGAACATTTATTGCAAGTGGAATGCATATCAAACCAAATCTAGGCAAAACCGCAGGAAAAATGCATTTCACACAATGACTTGTTCAGCTTTTTTGCAATCTTACCATGACTTGTTGAGCTTTTTTGCAATCTTACCATGACATGTTGAGCTTTTTTGCACACAAAAGCCAGAAATCAGAATACTAGTTTCCCTGCTTCGGTCTGGTTTTCGGCTGTGGCTTTTGGCAAGAGAGACGGGGAAGAAAGTCGATGGAGAAGATGGAGAACGCCTTTGGTCGTTTGCACAAGAAAATGAAGAAGGAATTTGGGAGAAGAAAAAGAAGAAGGTTTGAAAGAAAGAAGAAAATGAAGAAGACGATAGAAAGAAGAAAACAAAGATTGTCATGTACTCGTGTAGCCACTGTAGCTCTGGAGAATTGGGGGAAGTCATTTTCCATAAAAACACCCTCATTTTCCCTTTGACCCAAAGTCATTTTCCATTGACTTTGATTTTCCATACTTTGCCAAACACTGGAAACCCAGAAAATGATTTCCAGAAATCATTTTCCGGGTTTCCAAACACACCCTAAATGTTAGATGCATATGGTCATATTTATTTCTTAATTTGAAACCTTTTTTTTTTTTTTCATATTACTGATGAAAGCAAAATGTCGAAATAAGAATGATTGATAATCTTCCTCTGTCAACTGTTGCAAAGCTTTTGCAATATCATGACAGAAGATCAGTCTATGGCACAAAGTAACTTCATAAGCAAGGGTAAGAAGTGAAAAATTTTCTGTAGGGGAAAACTAATTTGAGGATAAAGACTTCTGGAAAGGGTATATTGAGGACTGTACAGAATAATGCACCCATGCTACTTTATTGCTTTACATTGTTGTAAGTAGACTTTCGCACAACTCAAGTTTTTTTACTCCAACCACTATAGCAAAACCAGCCAAAAGTCTCATTCCAAAGCAGTGACTTATTAGGTTTGATGCAGTGAACTACCTATCATAGCACACAACATACTCATTCCATCATTCTGATATGACACGGATGTCTCAAACTCTATTTTCCACAGTTGCAGAACAATAAAAACCAGAAGAAAATGGAATACTAACAATCAACATGCCCAATATTTTCTTTTGTCAGAAATTTCTTTCATAGAGAATCATGAGAAGTTAACCATAGCATAAGTAGAAATTGAGAAAACAACAAATACAAATCTAGAAAAATAAACAAGTGGAAATCTAGGCAAAAACAAGTACCAAATATGTAGAAAATTTAGAGAAAAAAAAAAAAACAAAACAAAACAAAAATCAAAACATAAAAATGGCGTACCTGAGTTGTGACGGGCTTCTTTTCAACGGAGAAATGGCAAAGGAGAAGTGGTGAGAGAGTAAACCCTAGCTAGCAGAAATTTGTTCAAATGGCTTTCAAACCCAGCAGTGACTCTGTCAAAAGCCGGAAAGAAAAAAATAGCGCAAAAATTTCAAGCACAAAAAAAACGCCTCTTCATTCTACTGTTAACAAAAATAAATTAACTTATAAAGTACACACATTTTTAGGCAAATGAAAATACATATAAATCACTTCAAAAGTTTTTAGGCAAATGAAAATACATATAAATCACAAATTAAAATAAACATTAAAATAAATTCAAATTCAAATCTAAAAATTAAAGTTCACCCTCGTCATCTTCGGATTGCTCATTATCATCATCCTCTAACGGTGTAGAATCTTTGTCATCAGAATCTCCACTATCATCTTCTATATAATTGTCATTATCCTCTTCAATCTCTTCACTATCATCTTTTTCAAAATCTTCAGTTTGGACACGTTCTTCGGAACCTTGATTTCCGCTTTGATTTAATTCCACTTCATTCATTTGTAAGGGTTTGTGCACTAAGTCTTGCATGTCATCTTCAATACTTTGACTATCCCCATATGTAAGCAACGGTATGTTCTGTTGTTGATATGTATAACTAGAGCTATACCCGCTGTCAATAGTTCCTTTAGGTCGTACATTCAACACTACCCACCAATTCATTTTTTCCTTTATTCCTCGTGGGTATGGAATATAACACACCTGACATGCACTTTGTGCAATGATAAAAGGATCATACTTCTCATATCGTTTATTGCAATGGACCTCAGTGATACCATATTCAGAATTCAATCGCGACCCAACATTCGGTGTTGGATCAAACCACTCACACTTAAAGAGAACTACCTTTTTAATTGGGACATTTGGGTACTCAACCTCAACAACCTCTTGCAACGTGCCAAAACAATTTGATTCAACTAAACCAGTTCCCTTAATAGACACTCCAAAGTTAGAAGTCGACTTTATACGGCAATGTGCTTCAGTCTGAAACTTGAAACCATTAACAACATATCCAGTGTATGTGCTTACCTCCATTAACGGCCCAGATGCCAAATCAATGAGTGATTGGTTACTCACATTATTCTTTGAGTTATATACCTAATAATAATAAATATAAAAAAGTCATGTAACAACATATATGAATAATAAAGAATCAAGAATCACAAAGCATTAACTTCTTACGTATTCTTTAAACCAATGTGCAAAACTCCTTTCGACTTCATCCTCTACATCTTGATCAGTACAACCAGGATTGCAACGCCGCAAACCTTTTTCATACAACCTACAATAGTTCAGTTAGATATATACATTTGAATCCAAAATAGAGAAATACATTTATAAAATGAAGCACACATACCTTAAAATAGGTTGAACCTCCTCACAATTAAGTAAGACATATTGATGAGCTAAGAAATGTTCTTCTGCACTTAAATATCTTGACTTTCTCCTGCCCATCGATCGACCTGGTCGATTAAATATTGACAGAGTAATTGGCAAGTTGGGATTAATGCCGTCATCATTTAGGTTCCGACCTACCCTTGTTCTACTCTGCACATGATCATCAAAATAAAATGATGCAAAGTGTGTTGACTCTTCAAGCATATATGCATCAGCCATTGAACCTTCAACATATCTCTTATTTTTCATTTTGGACTTCAACTGATTGAGAAATGTTTCAAATGGATACATCCAACGATATTGTACTGGGCCACCTAAACGTGCTTCATAGGGAAGATGGACAGGCAAGTGTTCCATGCAGTCAAATAGTGCTGGAGGGAAAAAACGTTCTAACTTACACAATGTTAAAACAATCGAGTTTTCCATTTCACATATTTTGTCTACACGTAGAGATGTAGAGCAAAGATTTTGGAAAAACGAACTTAACTCAGTCAAAGGCTTCCAGTAACAGCTTGGTAAAAACATGAAGGCTACAGGTAAAAGAAACTGCATAAAAATATGACAATCATTACTTTCCATCCCAATTAATTTAGAAGATGCGGAATCAACACATGTAGCCAAATTAGAAGAAAACCCATCAGGTAACTTCAAAGTTCGTAACCACTCATAAACAGCCAATTGATTAGTACAATTCAAACTGTAGCTCGCTTTGGGCATAAGAAAACGTCCATTCTGTTCTACCAACTCAAGTTGTGGCCTATTACAAACGTCCTTCATATTGAGACGTGCATTAGGCGTGTCTTTGTTTTTAGTTGTGCCTTTGACATCCATAACTGTGTAGAAGATGTTGTCAAACACATTTTTCTCTATATGCATCACATCAAGATTATGACGTAGCAAGTTGTCCTTCCAATATGGCAAATCCCAAAATATACTCTTTTTTTCCCAATTATGTGATTGTCCAAACCCATCAATGCGATCAATTGGGCCATCAATAATCCTTGGGATATTTTTCAAACTACAAAACAACTCATCCCCTGTCCAAATCGGTGGAGGTCTTGATTTCTCTACCCGTCGTTTGATGAAAGCATCTCGATTCTTCCTCCATGAGTGATCCATTGGAAGGAATTGACGGTGACAATCAAACCAACATGTTTTATGACTATTCTTCAAGTAAAATGATTTAGAATACTGAAAACAATAAGGACATGCTAGTTTCCCAGTTGTCTGCCATCCAGATAACATACCATAAGCAAGAAAGTCATTGATGGTCCACATTAACGCAGCTCGCATCATAAAATTTTGTTTAAGTGACGCATCATAAGTTAAGACACCTGTTTCCCATAACAATTGAAGTTCATCAATTAAAGGCTGCAGATAGACATCAATATTGGCTTTTGGATTCTTCTTCCCAGGAATAATACAAGTTAAGAATGTGTATGGTGTAGTCATACACATTGAAGGTGGGAGATTATACGGAACAACCATAACAGGCCAACAAGAGTACGACTTTGCAAAACCAAAAGGAGAAAATCCAATAGAACATAAGCCTAATCTCACATTTCGAGGATCTGCTGCGAAATCAGGAAACCTACTATCAAAGTGCTTCCATGCTTCCCCATCTGAAGGATGACACATAATATCAGGTTCACGGCGATTTTCATAATGCCACCGCATATGTGAAGCAGAGCTATGTGATGCATACAAACGTTGCAATCTAGGGATGAGAGGAATGTAATGCATGCTTTTGCGTGGCACCTCTTTTGCACGAGCAAATCCAGGTGGGCGCGATTTAAATCTTGGCTCACCACAAAACTTACAGTGTCTATCATTGATTTCAGACTTATAATACAACATGCAACTGTTTATACAACAATCAATCTTCTCATGTCCAAGACCAAGTTTTGTAAGTAACTTTTTGGCATCACAATACCGAGTAGGTACTCGATTATCAGGACCCATTATACGCTTATTATATTGAAATATCTGATCCATTGCTAGCTGTGGTATATTAAAAGTTGTCTTGATATTCATCATCATCAATGCATATGACAATTCTGTTTCCTCACCAACATTCTTTGATAAAGGTTGTCTCGCAACATTTAACAAATCATAAAAGTTTCTTGCACTACTATGTGGCTCTTCATCTTGGTCGTTATCGGCATTTAATGGCAAAGATGATGGACCAGATACATCAAAAACCATTTGTTCATACCGATTGTTTTCACTCGGGCCCTCATTCATATGTCTTTGTATTGAGGGGTCAAGCTCATCGTGACACGTCCAAACCCAATAATTTGGTTCAAAACCCTTCCTATACAAATGAACACGAACATCATCTGCAGACAAGTGTACTCTATTCTTACACTTACTACATGGACACCTTATCTGCATTGAAGCCTTGTATACAGGAAGTGTGCTTGCATAATTTATAAACTCCTCAACACCCGCTAAAAACTCATCAGTGTAACCCCTTTTTCCGGGTAACAATCGGTTATACATCCATTTCCGACGTTCATGTACATTACCCATTTAAACAACTGCAAAAGTATATACAATACAAACACAACATATATAAATAGGGATCCCTATATAAATATATTACAAATAATATAAATATTTAAAATAATTATATACCAATATACTAATACTAATAAATAAACACACATATAAAATGCAAGGTAAAAAAAATCATAAATATACAAATAATTCTAAGCACATACATTATACATAAATAAATAAATAAATAAATAAATATACACACACACACACACACACACACATATATATATATATATGCACACTACATATTCTTCAATTATAAAATAATGTGCAGGGGAGATATATATAAAGGTCTCCAATTTTAAAAAATTCAAAATGCCGAAACTTTCCCACCACCTAACTTGGTGTTAGAATTTCCAACCACTTTTGAATAGTGGTTGGAAATTCCGACCACCAAGGTGCTTGCAAATACACACTGATTTTAAAATTTAAATTTGGCAAAACTTTTTTGACCACCACGACCCTCTAAAGAAAAAATGAAACAAAGGCATTTTTTGCAACCAAATTTTTGGGTGGTCAGAAAAAGATGCTTTCTAGCAGTGTTTGGGCCTTCACAATCATTGGACCATTTGGGCTTATATCATCACTAGTTCCCTACTTCATTAGCCTACAAATAGTAAGCCTGAGGAAGTAGAAGACTAGGGGTGGGCGTTTTAGTATTTGTTCGGTTTTTAAAAAATGAAACCATTCGGTCTAACATTGTAGTTCGGTTTGGTTTCTATTCGATTTAAAAATGTTTGGTTTCAGTTTGGTTTAGGAAACCCCAATTCCTATCATTTTCTAGTTTTCTAGCGCAAACTAACAAGCAAACATCTATAATAGTAAACAGAACAAGAATGTATTCATCACTCAACCAATCCTTATAATTTACATTAACCAAAATCTAGACAGGGAAACCAAAACACATATTTGAATGAATAGTTTATCTTTCCAACATCTCAATCTTATTTCTCTTTTGTGAATTCATGACTTTGAAACTTCAATCATTCTTGATCATAACTAAAATACACTATCATTCCGCACTTATTATGGACAGAGTGAAGCATACTAGGACAAATGTCATTAACCCAAGGAATCCAAAACCTGTTACAAAGATAAAGAGAATAGGTATCTAGGAAAGAGACAATGAGCTGAAAATTGAAAGAGAAATGAACAAGTCCTTCAGTAAACTACTTCCACAGATGTACACAAAGGTTTCAACTTTCAACCAACAGTATCCACACAAAAGACTAAAATATACATTATACAAGTCAGAATAATCTATATCATTCACACACAGATAGACAGGGAAAACATAAAATCATTTTCAGCATACCTTGAGCTAAGAAATCACTCTGCACATCCCCATCATAGTTCTTGCATACCCATACATAACCACCATCACTTTTCAATGCATAAGCAACCATATGAATGATATCATCATCAATGAGACCATGTTCGTACCTACCCCAGAAATGGAACAATTAGTCTCAACAATAAGTCAATAATCAATGCAAGATCTATCTATCCCAAGAAAGAGAATTCTCACCATTAAGCTTTCATTTCCATTAAGCTTCATAGACTTGTTGAAAGATGTCCTTAAACCTTCACGAAACTGTTAAGCTTAGCTCAAATGAAGAAATACAATTTGGTAAACAAGTAAAATATAAAAGAAGGCCAATGGAGATGAAAAGTGGATTAGCTCCCATCATATATCTTGAGAATGGTATTCTTTGTACTGAGATACAAGGGCCATTGCTTTTGGTATGCCATATTCATTAAAGCATCAGCAAAAGCATGCCGTAAGAGAATTTAAGGAAATTCAAATAAAAAATCAAGGTTTTGTGGTATGCGATCAGAAAAATCAGAAATCAAGCCTGAGTAGTGAGTACCTTCGTCCACAGGAGAGGTCCGGGAGGAGACCGGAGCTGTGGTGCGTCGATGAGAACTGGACAATTGGTCTCTGGTGACGGTCCGTTCGTCGCTTGGAGCAGGGCCGCCGGCAGCAGGCAATGTGGAGGACTGGACGACTGGTCTCTGGTGACTGGTCCGGCGACGACTCGACGAGGCAGCACTCAGCAAGCGGAGCACAGAGGTTAGGGATTTGGAAAACCCTAGGGGCGTTTGGTTTAGATTACCTAGGTAATCTGGTAATATTATATCACCATATTTAGTTTAAATTATGAGATTACCTGATAACGTTATATTATTTTAAAGGTGCGTTTGATTTAGGTAATCAGAGTTCGGTATATTACTTTGTTTGATTCAATTTATGAGATTATGAATATATTACTCAAAAATTATGGACATATAGTTCCATAATTTTAAACATAGAGTTGTGAATATAATTATGAACATATAATTCTGTAATTATGAATATAGAGATTCAATAATTGTGAATATGAAATTAAAAAATTATGAATATATAGCTTTATAATTATGAACATATAGTTCAGTAATTATGAATATAAAACCGTGTCCACCTTGCAAGGTGGTTATAGTTCCACAGCATAACGATTGACGTTATACTACCTTAGTGTTTGACAACACACTTATCTATTATTGTCGAAAATGGTAGCGAACAGTACCATATAGGCAAATCAGAGCTTGCCATATGATATAAGAGTGTGACACCCCGGAAATCTATCCTCTAAATGGAATTAATTATTTAATTAATTCTAGACTTGCCTTGTAAACTTCTTCTTAATTCCTTATTCAATAGTCGGAGGACATAAATTGACTAGATTCTTTAGTCAATTGAGTTAATCAAAGAATTGTACCTTGAGTCTTATGCCTTGTACCTAGCCTTTAAAATTCTTCATAACAAATTTGTTGTCAAGAGAGGCTATTATAGTCCTTTCACACCCTTACTTGATATCCAAGATATTTTCCCTAACACACCACTATTGTATTCCCACAATAGGCAAGAAAGATCTTTTCTCTCCACCTTCTCTCTAAAATCCTAGCCTCTTCCCCAAACCAACCAAAACCCTTCCTCAATCTTGCCAAGAACCCTCCAAGATTACAACTTTCTTCCACCAAGATCTTAGGAAAGGTAATGCTTAGTCTTGGATAGTGTTTTTACCTAGTTCTTCCTTGACTTTATCTAAATTTTTGGTTATTTGTGTGGTTTTTGGTTTGTGTTGGGAAGACCTTGTAGAAGAAGAGTTCCCAGATGAGGATTAGAGGTTGAAGAAGGTGTACTTAGGCTACAAGAGGTAACTCATGTTTTACAAAACCTATTTTACACTTGATAATATGGATTTCTTGCTATTCTTGACATTCATGAGTGAAATGATGCATAATCTTGTGTTTATGCATGTTAGAGCTTGTATCTAGGGTTCATAAATGCTATTCTTTGAGCTTTTCATGTGTTCAAGTTCCTTTATTATTGAATGTGAGGTTTTGGGTGTTTTGGACTTGAACTTGGCATTGTTAATGTTTTCCCCTCGAAGGGAAATTGTTTTTGAGTTCAGGGGAACCCGCGGGCGGAACAGCGGGCATGCAACCTACCACTGTTCCGCCCACGGGGAACGTTGGTGATGGCCGGCGAGGGAAGCCGCGGGTGGTTGCCCACCCGCTGGTACAGTGTAAGGGGGTGGCGGGTGGTTGTCCACCCACCGTTCCGCCCACTGGTACGTTGTGCTTTGGCCTCCGTTTTGTTGAACTGTTGTGTAATTGTGTGTCTCATTTGATGTTTCGTACGTTTAGAACAATGTCTTAAGTAATCTTGATAGGCTTATGTAACACCCCGTGTTACGCCCTTTAAACTCGGGTTAATTATTTAATTAATTCCGTTAAGAATAGTTAGAAAGGATTTAATATAGTCAAAATCCCTTAATTAATTAGTGTGGTCTGCGGTGGACCGTGGACCCTTGCCTATATTTAAGCCTTAAAGCCCGCTAGAATAAAGAAGTTGGACCAGTATTAATCAGATTCTAATTAGGAGTCCTAAACCTATATAAAATGAATTAGGAGGCCTTTAGAACCCTTTCTGTAACACCCCCGATTTTCACAATTTTCAAAAACATTTAAAGCTTAGTAAAGAGATAAGTCTACTCATTAAGTTTAGATTAACACGGAAGCAAAAGACAAAATACGGGGAATGTCACGCCACACCTATACATCTATAGGTGTACAGGCTAAAATCTAAGCAAACGTATTAAGTCATGTCCATACAACTATGGCACACAGGCCCAAGACACTAACTAATCAGTCTAAGGGAGCTACACTAACAAACCGACAGTTAATGCGCTCGCCATAAGCTACTCAGGACCTGTAAAGCACATAAAGAAAGGGGACGATGCCCGGTCAGCGAAAATTGCTGGTAACCCATCAATACGCGTTAAATAACATATATAGATAGTATAAACCAAAACCATTTTTGAAACGAAATACAGTATATATCTGTTCAAACATCATATAGAGAGATCAACTGCAAAGACTCTATTTCACTCTCAAAGGAACAAGGGAAATCAACATCCCAAGACAACGATAAGACAAGGACAACAATAATAACCAAATACAACTCGATGCGTATTCTACTGATCACAAAGTAGAATACCACTCGACATGCTCATTAACAAAGAATAGACATTCAAACATTGGCAACTACATGCCTCAGTGACACTTCATGTCACAAGTTCCAACATTATGCCCTGTTCCAACCTTATGGTTACCCCCGGCCTTATTACAGTTCCAACCATTACCTCCGAGAACCCATGTACTTCTGAGTCCAACCTTATGCCTCCGAGGACCGTCGTCCCCACTCCAACAATCTCCAACAAAGTCTCCGGCATATGAGTACACGAGGGTACCATTCATTTCATTCACACAATCTCCAACAAGTGAGCCTACGCTCAGATTACACCACCAATTTCATTCATGGCCACCATGAGGACCACATCTGTACCTTGGAGATTAAGGTCTCATACCCTTAACCGTGCAATCAAGGTACAACCAATACACACGTTTCCATCACAAACATCAATCAATGGATCACAACAAAGATATGAAATCATACTCAACAAGGAAGGATTACAATCCGACACCAACGATGGTCAACACAAGTTGCCAACTTCAATAGGAAAGAACAAACCGCACACACTAGCATTTCAACATCAAACTAGCATGCTTATCAAACGGGTAAACCAAACATAGTTCCATAGAACATACAAGACTCATCATAGTCCAACGAATCACAAAGTTGGACACTTAGCACGATTCAAGACACCAAAATCCTACATAGATTCCTAACATACCGTTCTAGACATACGAAACATCAAGAAGACACTCAATAGCCCAATAAAACAACATCGGGAGGTCAAAACATCAATTACCGAGTCAAAAGAATCACAGGGAACAAATCCCCGACCGATTACAAATGTGTACCCCGCAGGTGGGGCCACGGGTGGACCTCCACCCGTGGTTCCGCCCGCGGGTACCACACTCCAAAACCATATGCACCCCGCGGGTGGGGCGGCGGGTGGAGCTCTGCCCGCTGTTCCGCCGCGGGTACACCCTGTACCACAAAATAATCCCTTCGGGGATTTTCAACAACAAGTCCAAATTCAAGTCCAAAACACCCAAAATCTCACAAAATACAACAATATGACTTGAATCCAAGAAATAGCCAAACAATGGCATACAAGAACCCTAATAACAAGCTCTAGATATGCATTACCACAAGACAATGCATCAAAACTCACATTTCATAACAAAAATCACAAGTAGAAGTCAAGAAATCATCATATAGGTAAGAAAATAGATTTTGTAAAGCATGGGTTACCTCTTGTAGCCTAATACTTCACTTTTCACACCCTTAAAGGCTTATCTTAAAGCTCTCCTTCAACTTCAACTTCATAAACACACCAAAGACAACAAAGATTCCATCTTTAGAAAAAGATACTAAAAACACCAAGAGATCAAGGATCTTACCCTCCCCTATGCTCAAGGTTAAGAAAGTTTGAATCTTGGAGACCAACTTGTAGGATTTAAGACACCCAAAATTTGGCTTGAAGAATAAGCTATCAATTTTCTAGAGAGAAGGTGGAGCTTTTATGTTTAGGGTGTTAGTGGATGGAATGAATGGATGATGTTAGGTTAGCTTGGGGCACAAACATAAGGTAGAAAGACTTCTTTGCCCTTACTAAAGTTGGGAGAATAAGGAGACAAGGGAACAACTCATAAGGCATAGAGTACAACTCTTTGACTTGGATTGACTAGTCAATTTCTAGTCCTCCGACTATTGAATTTTCAGGATTTTAGGAATAAATTACCAAATAAGCTAGGATTAATTATCTAATTAATCCTTAAATAGATTTTGGATTTACGGGGTGTCACACTTTCCCTCCCAACTACTTCTCTACCACTCGAAAATCCCCTCCCAGAATCCAGACAAAGAATTCCACCGCCACCAAGCTTAGGAAAGATCGTTAGGAAGAGGACCTTGAGGAAAGATCCTAGAAGTCGTAAGAAGTTTAATTAAAGCTACGAGGTAACCCATGTCTTACAAAACCTATTTTCCTTGCTATCTTTTATTGATTGGCTCATTTGAATGATTGTATGTGTGCTTTTGTGATTATGCCTTGATAGAACTTGTCTTAGGGTTTATATTGTGATATCTTGATGATCTTGATATTCTTGATATTCGTAAGTGTGTATATGCATGTTCTTGTGTTTAAACATGTTAGAGCTTGTCTTTAGGGTTTTTCTATGATGGGTTCTTAATGTTCTTGAGGTTCTTGATGCCCTTGAATCGTTATGTGGTTATCCTTGAGTCTTGGCATGTTTAGAGTTTGTGTTTAGGATTCGATTGTGTTGTTTTTTGGCCTATTCTATGTGTTCAAGTCCCTATTGTTGTTGATATGTATTTGGGCGTGTTTGGACTTGATTTTGGATAAAATTAGAGAATTCCCGGGATGGGTAAATGCCAAGAAACTTGTGTTCCAGCGGGTAGTCGGTGGGAGGACAAACCCCCACCCGACCACCCGTCGGAAAAAGGGCCACGGCTCCAGCGGGTGGCCGGCGGGTGGACGACCACCCGCCGGAATGCCCGCTGGAACCCGGCAGCCCGCCGGCGGGCAGTCCGGCAGGAGGTTGTCCTCCCGCC